CTAGTACTACTACTACTACTACTACTACTACTACTACTAAATACTACTACTACTACTACTACTACTACTTCTGCTACTACTACTACTACTACTACTACTACGACTACTACGACTACTACGATTACTACTAAGAAGAAGGAAGGTCAAAGAGCTTAGAAGTTGAAGAGAGAGAGCCTTCGCAAGAGGCGCGCCGGGGCGTGGTGGAGCTCGCTGGTACTTTGGGAGCCGAAGCCGACCTGGAGGTTTCCAAAACAGGCCGAGACACAAATCCTAACATTAAGTATAGATTCTATACTTAGTAATTGTGGTTATTACTAAGTTATTACAGTAGTTCTTACTGATGATACTTATGAGGATAATGCTTGTTACTATTGTAGTAACTACATTAAATATGATTATAATTATAGTTCTTCTCCTCATTATTACTGTTTTTTATTGCTATCATAGGATATTGTTGTTATTATTATTATTATTATGAGTATTTCTATTAAGGTTGAGGGTCTTGCTCTCGTTTTGCTAGGCGAGTTATCGTGTTTGTTTGCCTTCTTTCGGTTCTTCGGAGTGGATGCTGTAGTGGGCTCTCAGTGTCACGAGTAGTGAGTAGACTTAGTAGACATGATGCGGAACTCTGTGCAGCAAGTTGCCCAGGAAGGCAATGTTCAGGATCATCGAAGCTGTTGAGTCTGGTTAATGTAAACGAGGTCATGTCACTGCCCTAGTCCGTCGAAGGCTCACAGGGCTGTGCCTCGTGGGGTCTCGCGTTTGGTGAGGGTCAAGCATATGATCCTAGCATACAGAAACGCATGGGACATGCCAGGGATTGCAAGACCAGAAGGATAAAATCGGAGCCGTGAATGCCCTCGCAGAGCGGGTTCGGGGCAACCCTTGGGTAGCAAACCTTTGAATTCCGGATGCCTATGAGTGCCGTACAGAGAATCCGGCAACCTAAACACCCTTCTTCAACCCCAGGCTTAAGGGGTAGGGACCCCAAAATTCTTAGAAACCCCGATCCCCGATGTAGCCTCCCAACTTTCTAGTCCTGGCTTCCCCCATGCGGCTGGAAGCTTGGCTTCCTGGCAGGTGAGCTCGTGTACCTCTTTCCCCGGGACGTGAAGGGGGCCTTGTCGAAGGTTTCCTCCGCTGCGGCAGCTCGAGAGGCGGGGATTGGACCTTTGGTGATGGTTGTTTTGATTGTTGGCGGTATTGTTGTGTCAATATCAAAAGCACGTTAATATGATTAAGAATAACGATAGCAGCATTGCTGTTATTCTGTTTTGATTATCAATTTTTGGTATGATGATGATGATGCTGCTGATGATGATGATGTTGTCGGTTCTACTTTTACGACTATTGTTATTCGTATTATCGATACTTTTGTTATTATTATCATCATCATCGCATTACCGAGTACTGTTCTGAGGGCATCTTTGTTAGGGCATTTGCTGTGAGGCATGGAACAAAGCGAAGCCTACTGCTGCCCGGCCACAGTTTCGGAATGGTGTCTGCTCATCTCTGTGTGCATTTCTTGGCTTATGTTTGGATCAGGTTTTCACAGCTCTCCGTGCTGCTTTCGGCGTGGCCCTATTTGCCTCCATTGCTGTGATATACACAGCGATCATTGCCATCAGCACTTCCAGCTCCGACAGGGACCATGCAAGCTGCTTTCGAAGGGCATCGGCCGCATCGCCCTCCAGTTTCCATGCATGGCATAGGTACCGTACCCCACTGCAGGACCGAGATGACCGACGAAGAGGTGGAGACTCTTTTGGGGGTGGTGGTTTCGGTTTTGGCCCGACCTTGTATTATGGCCCGTCGAGACTTGGAGGCAATAGGTATTGCGAGGTGTCTTTTCCTCACCGTAGCATTATATAGGTCTAGAGATTTCTTGTTAGTCCTATCAGACTCGTGTGGGTCGACTTGCCGTGCGTTCATCTCTTCTCCTTGGTTTTGGGATCACTTGCCCTGGAGCTGAGGGATGCCATCCATCACTTTCACCCATCAGCTTTGATTGGGGAGTGTCTGTCGCCCAAGGCCATTTGATGTGATTTTCTACAGACCGTACTATTCGTATTCTTACGGCGGCGATATGTACGATGAGTGCCTCGGTGAGAAGCAGAATCCGCAACTCGTGTTGATATGCACGATGTGCCTTACATGTGTGGCGCCATCTTGATGATGTCTCAGTTGGCAGTCGCGGAGTTCTCCGCCAAAAATGGGCTTCCTCGAATCAGTTTACAGCAGCTTGACTTCCACTTCGTTTCGTGCACAGCAGCTTCATGTAAATTTGCAGCGCCAGCGCAGGCTTTGTTTTTGGTGACGGGGATCCTAACGCTGGCCGCTCCTTGCCAAGAATCTTGGAAGCCACGCGTGTCAACGTGAGTAAGTGACACAGTGACCCAGTTTTAGCGCTTCCACTTGCAGGCTTGGATCGGCAGCTGGCTGCTGTGGCAGCTCTCGCCCGGCGGAACGGCGGAGTTTTGACAGCTGAGCAGATGGCACCTTTGCACCTGGGACGAGTTTAGGAGTCCGAGAGCGGAGGACATGAATGAGTGGAATGTTGTGGGACAAGCTACCAGGCTGGACCCTCCCAACTACAAGTCACCGGAGAGCACGTACAACGCCGCCGAGCTGCACTAGTAGAGTTGGTCTTGAGGCCTCGAGGCGGCAAGGCTTCTCGCACACACAGGAGCAAACATGTCGACAGAAGCTCGGATTGTGCTGCGATGCCGAGGTGAATGAGAGCTGGGTGCTGCCAGCAGTCTCGAGGTTAAATGGAAGGCCCGAAGTGGCGGCTGATGGGCAGATCGCTTGGCTCTCAGGAAGAAGAAAGCCAAGTGCTGGCTACTGTAATGATGGGTCATGGGTGACTGTGTCACGAAGGTCTATGTCTTCGATGACCTACGGACGACTGCAGGCGACAGCTTGTTGAGCGTGCGTGAGGTGCTACGCTACTGCCTCGTCGATTAGATGCTTTGCACGAGTTGACGGCTAATGTGGAGCCCGCTGCACTTCCGCAAACATAGTTACACAGCACTCCAAGTGAAGAAGAAACGCTAGACTTCCCCTGCTTTGCCCGAACGGCTGAGAATGCTCTGCGAGTATTGACCAGTCGCGTGGTTCTAAGCAAAGGTGAAACTTCTTCGCGCAAGCCACCAGCAATCTTGGAGGCAAGTAAGCTGCACTCGGAGAAAGGTAATCATGGGCACCATTGCGAAAACCCAGCCTTTCTGTCCTGCTGTGAGGAAGAAGAGGTTCCTTTCTCTTTGGCGGACGAGGGCAATCTCACGCTCGTCGTCTTGCTCGGCCGCTTGCTGTTTCTCTTGAGTTACGCCTCGTCCAGCAGTCTGAGTCAGCTTGCAGGCAGCGTCGGCTCGACATTGCTTCCTGATTTGCACAGATGTTACCATGGGTAGCCTAGGTGTCGCAAACCTCGTCGGAGCCGACCCTTGGTGGCACCACGGGGCGTAGTGGGCCTGCAGCACTCAACTCGAGATCATGGTATGGTCCTTGCGAATCCCATGCTGCTTCGAGGCTTACCTCGGTGCGCAGTTCGCAGGCCTTGCAGGATACAAGCTTACAGGCCAGATGCATTTTGAGTGGTGAAGCATCGGAACTCAAACACATTGACCAAGGCTTCCTGGCTGCAGTGAAAGGCTTCTACCCAGGATTGCTAGCTTATGCCGCAGGCACCTCAGAATCTGGCAGAGGGTTCGTCGCATTGCTTGCTGTTTTTTGCCGTTTCTTTTGGTCTGAGGTGGGTTTTTTCGCTGCCCCGGCCGTGCGCTTCTTTGGCCTCGGTAAGGCGAACAGAAGCTGGACAGCAGTTAGGATGGAGTTCATGTTTGTTGCGTGTCCATTTCAGGCTCACCATTTCGCTGAACCCCCACGTGCCTGATGCCCATTCTCCCCTGCTTGTTCCAGACGTTAGGCGACAACGAGTAAATTGCGTGCAGGCTCTTCGGGAACAGCACTGCCCGTTCACTTTGGTTTGTTGCCTTGCAACTTTCACTCCTTTTGGTTCACTCTCCGCCCTCAACACTTCCGTTTGCCGCAGCTGCTGGCCCGTCGCCATGTAAGGTGAGATCCAACAGAGGAACCAAAACCGCAAAGATTGGTTGAATGTCCTTCGATCTGGTTCTGTGGACGGAAAGCTTGCCCAGGCGACGAGCTCAGTATGAAAGTGTTAACGGAGGGAAGAAGACAGGGGCGATGCTTCGCTTCACGCCGAACTCGCACAGGGGCATGGGGGATGACACCTCGAGGCAAGGAGCCTTCGACAGGGCATGCGGCAGATTGGCAGGGAGGACTCTGTCTACAGCACCGCGAAGGACGACGCACCGTGCTGTGCCCGATCTGGGAAGCAACAGTACCAACACCGGAGATGAGAGTGTGCAAGAGGAGGCACAGAGCCAATCCAGTCGCAGCGATCTAGAAGATTTTGATCGGCGTCTGCGAAGTTGAGGCGGAACGCGGTATTTTCTGTGAATTGTATGGTCGTGTGTGCTGTCAGCAGCCTTGAAGACTTGAAGGCTTCTCTGGGCCAAGGGGACGGTTCGAAAGGACTTCTCTGTGGTTGAAGCCTGGTACAGAATTGGGCCCGCGTGGCCGATGCGGCCTTTTGTCGTCGAATTTTAGAGGACTTGCAATTGATATGCAGAAGTCAGGCCGTACAGTTTAGCGGTTTGCAGAGCCTGGCAATGGAAAGTCCGGAGAGGTATACTGTTTGAATCGTCCATGAATGCCTCATCCTTTGGTTGTGACAGCTCCGGAGTTTCTTTTCTTGCACAAGGGCCTCAACTTTTTCAAGAGCTTCTGACGGATAGACAATGCCAGCGTCTCTTCTATGTAGCCGTCCTCACAAGCAGGAGGACATCCAGGAATTCCAGCCTCGGCAATCAGGGAGAAAGGCAGATGGAAGGAACTTCGTAGCACGTCCCAGCTTGGCAGCTGGATGTGCTCAGATGCGCCTGATGTCGGTGTTGCAGGGCGGGTTTTGTCAAGTTTCGTGTCAAGCCACAAGGTGTTGTGGGGTGTTGCTTGTGTTGGGGCTTTTGTTGGCCCCCATGCTCGGTCGGTTGTGCTGCGCTCCTTGGGTTGCCAGCCATCCACCGTCCATTCGTGTCTCAAGTTCGGCTGAGAGCCACCTGTGCCAACAGACTTCGGGCATTATCAGGGGTTGAAGAGCAGGCTTCGCCCTTTTCCTGAAGAGTGCTTTTCAGGGTAATGCGAAGCAATGCCAGGAGCCAGGCGTAATGCAAACTCCAGCCCAGCGGGAGCTTCAGGATCGGCAGGCTTCCCGCTATCCATGTTTGTGTGACAATCAGTGCCGTTTCTTTTGGCAGGCAGGCAGGCCCCGGAGTATGCCGAGGTGTGGAGTTAGAGCTACCATTGGCACAAAGATTCAATGCGCTGGGCAGACAGCATAGGTCGAAATCTAAGCAAGATGCCAAGTCGCGAAATGCCCATCAGATGCAGGTGATGATCAAGGCGCACAGCCGTCGGACCACAGATCTGTGTACTTTGTGCGCGTTCGTTCTGCCGCCTGGCTGCCACCATTTTTTCATACCGCAGCATCGCGAAGTCATGCAGGAGCGACACGAGCAACTTCTATCTTATTATTCTTCGGAGCATTGCAAACAAGCTGGTGGTTCGACAAATGCCAATTCCTGCACACACTGAGCTACCTTCTCGGTCAGGTATTGGGCTGGCATGTTTCTGCCTCAGCTCAGAATGTGTGGGAGCCGCCGGGCTTTGTGGGGTCGGTGAGAGCCAGTTTGGCATGGCAGCAAAGTTCGACGGTTGGTGTAGATGGGTCGGGGTTGGGGCCTCGCAACTGTGCGCAAATACGAGGCTTCAAGATTCGCTAGTGTGGCAAATTTTTGGTCAGATACGCGGCTTTTGAATGTTGAAGCAAGGGAGCTTGAAGCGAACTTCGGGCCATCGAGTCCATGAGCTGTATGTTGTTGCAACATGTCGCTCCTGCTGCGCTTCAAAGTCTTGATCAGGTGTGGGATCACTTATTCCGCTCTCATCACCGGCGACCCACGGAGGCTGTACCATAGACACCTCCTCAGTGGATGCTGCATTGCTCCGACTTCGGGCAGATTCGCCGCTGAGTGGACAGAGGTTTCGATTACGGCGGCCATCTCTGCGGCGTCGACCCAGGTGTAGAAGACAAGGGGTCCAAGGCCTAGCGATTTCACTTCTTGTTGGACACTCCTCACAGCCTTCCCTCTCAGGCTCCTCTACTGGCCCCGTCCGAAAGATCCCGAATACGCGATCTGCATCGGGCAGTGCCCAGACAATCGTCAGGTGCCTGGGGAGTGTATGCGGTCTGGTGGTCAGCGATTCCCGGGTATAGAAACTTGTCATCGCAGTGCGTCGTGAAATGCTGCCCTGGCCGAGCCTGCGGAGGGAGTGGTTGGGGGACAGTTTCGAGGCTTGTTGTCCTGATACTTATCCAGGACACGGTGACTGCCCTGGAAGAGGACGGTCGGTGACAGAAACTTGTGACTTGCTCGGGATTTGTGATGCGCTTGATTGTTGTTTAGATCCCAGTGAGAGCCTGTTCGCTCAGAAGAACATGTCTAATGCTATACCTAATGATCGGCACAGCAGACGGTGCTGCTGATGCTTCAGCCAAACTTCAGTTCACATTTTGCAGGAAGCTGCTGTCAGCCATGGTGCAAGCGGGGTTGAAACCGCGACCATCACTTCCAAGCAAGTTCGAATTCCAACATACCCTTCCAGGTGGGCTGGGCTGGGTTCAAGCTCAGACTTTTGTGGTATGCGCCCTCTCGACTTCAAGATTAGTCTTATGAGCGCATGGCCAGGGAAATCGGCGGCCGCTTCTGCTTGCCGCTCCCGTTGGCCGAGACTCTGGATGGCAACGATGGTGATGGCGCCACCAGGCTGCCGAGCGCTGCCGGGTCGACGGCTTTGCAGTGGCCACGGCTTCCTGCAGATACTTTGCAGCTTACCTCGAAGATTTGTTTTGGCTTCACCTTGTTGGGGCAGCACAAGCTGCAGTTCTGCATTTATCTCAGCTCAGGCCCTTTCCAACAACCAGCTCGGCTGCCCCAGCGCCAGCGACGACCAGTCATCCCTTGGTGCCACCCGGCAAACCTTTCCACCAGCCCTCGTGGGGTTACCCCACAGCACCCCCTGAGCAGCCCCGCACGGCCCGACCACGAATTGCTGACTTCCCCGGGCTCCTGCCACCAAGGGTGCAGTGGCCTCGCCCCAGCCGGCCCAACCCCGGAGAGCATGGTCCTGAAGTCCCGGAGATCCAGACCTCAACTCATCTGCCGACGAAACCCGGCAAGACTGCACCCGTCAAGGCTGCTGGACTGGAGACTGGGGCTGGAAATGTCACGAAGCCCCACAAGCACCGGCACAAAAAGGCTAAGGAAGACGAAGACAAGGACGAAGACAAGGACGAGGACAAGGACGAGGACCCCGATCCAAGAAAGGACGAGGGCCAGCGGCCGGAAGGGGACAAGGGTGAGATTGGGCACAAGATGGATGACGCGCCGGCCACAACAGAACCCGCCTCAACGGAGGACAGGGAAAGTCACACGGACACCGTGACTCACCAGCCGGCTGCGACAAAGCTCAAAAGCGGTAAGGTGGAGCATGAGTTGAAGAAGCCCGTGCCCAAGACCGTGCGGCAAAACAGCACGGAAATCAAAACGGATGCCGCCGAAAAAGCGGAGAACGTTTCTTCGCACCACCACGAGCCAGGCAGAAGGACTCACTTTCATTCTGCGACGGCATGTGAGAACCTTGTGTGTGAAATTGCTTTATGCTGAGTCTGGTTTTTGCAGGATGTGGGAGAATACTGCAAGGCCTGCTTGTCCAGTTGCACCAGGGTTTTCCTCTTTTGTCTTTCGACGACGCCCAGGAGCTCGGAGACCGCCGAGTTGGCCAGACTGTTGTCCCAGGCAGGTGTCTCGCCGGTCATAGCCTGGTGCTTCTAAGTGCGTTCGGCCGCACACGGAAAGCAGGATGACGAGGGCCTCGGTGCGTGGCTCCGCAAGACTGCCTGGGACATTGCTGGCGCCTGGCCTGTTGCCCTGCCCTTGGTGCTGCGGGACACTGCGTCACTGCGTACAGAAGGAGATGCTGTCTGTTGCTCTTGCAGTTGGTGGTGCTCGGTGTGGTCTTCGCGTCTCTGCAGGGTAAAGCCAGCTCAATTGCGTCTCATTGCTTCAGGGCCTTGTTATGTTTGTCGCTGGGGCACGCACAAATTTGAAGCCTACCTTCTGCCAGGCACTGGGTATTTGGCATTCATGCGATTCTGCGTTGATGCCTTGGTTATCGGCCGGGTTCACATCTTCCAGCCCTGAGCGAAGCCTGAGGCTTGCCCTTTCACATTTGGCGTCCTCTTCCTGCTCATACTTGCAACAAGTGGTATGTCAGTGCAGCTGGGCTCGGTGAAAGATTTGGAGACGGCCTGTTTCTTTGCACGTAAGACCACCGGAAGTCGAGGTATTCCTTGGCAATTATACGCACGGACGAGGACTCGTGTCGGGGTCTATGAGGTGTCGGCCTGATTGTAGAAAGCTTTGAGACTGGCAGGAGGCAGCAGAGCAACTGTGCCTTGATCGCAACGAGACTGTCAGCTTCAAGGAGCCCGGAAGGTAGAAGCCAAGGTGAAAGCTCGGTGTCTACTGCCAAATTGATGGGAATTCTCCAGCCACCCCCTCCGCGATAAAGCCCAGTCACGGCCTAGTCAGAAGTCACCCCAGTCCGGTGAACCACGGAAGATTGGTCTGCTGCAGTCTGTCCTCGCTTCGAAAAGCAAGAAAGACGCCGAAGCTCAAAGTTCAGGAGCTACTAAAGTACTTTTCCCGTCAGAAGCTCGCACAGAATTAATGTGCATAATGAGGTTTGGCCGATACTCGGAAACTTGCCTGCATTGCGTACCCTTTTCATGCAGCGCTTTCGGAGCTGCGGTCCAGATATGTCCAGATGATGCACAACGGCTTGTTCGTGTTGACTGGGTTGGGTCGATGTGCTTCTCTGATGGAATGTCTACTGAGGATCACCCCGTCCTGCTCAGTCAAGTTGTTGGCTGGTCATGCGCAGGAGATTGCATTTCAGTATGCTTCGAAGGGCATGCAGGGCTGCAAGAACTGCAAAGGAGTTTGTGTCTTGCTCCTGGGCATCTCCATTGCCATCTTTCCCACAATGCGCCGGGCTATCGGCTGCATTGATGGAGCTGCGCAGGCTATTTGGGAGGAGCCTCCGTGGCGTGACAGCAGTAAAGAAGCCTCGCGATGGCGTGTTCCGAACCTAAGCTTGTCGCGAATCTTGGCAACGGCGCACTGATGGAAGGCTGCTGCGGTTGCCTGCTGTAGAGATGATGATCAAGACGCTGTTCTCCATCAGCTGGTGCCCCGCATGACCTGCGAGAACTGGAGACCATTCAGCAGCGGTATTCAGCACAGGCTGATCTTCTTCAGCTTCGTCATCACAAGCGGCCAAATTGCTCCCCATCTGAACGATTCAAGACGCTTGTCCCTGTGTTTTCTGAGGATTCGAGTGTTGCGAGTTGCCGCAGGACCCGCCGACCTTGGACGTCAATGGAACGCCGGTCTACACGCGGATTCGGAGGTTCAACTCAACGCCTCTGCAGAAGCTCTGCCCTCTGTGATAGACCGCGACAGTCGCAGGCAATGTTATGTTCAGAGCTCAGGTTTTACATCTTTGTCTATGTTGGAGGCTCTACGACACTTTGCATCATTTGAATTTGCCGATGGGTGCTGCGCAGGATACCTTTGGACACTGGAAACCCTTAGCCTGATTTTCCACTTCGCAGCCCGGGCCTTGGGACCAATGAGCCTCAATCCTGCGAGAAGCCTTCCGGCTGCGTGTTTCAGACAGTATCGTTTCCAAGTGAGCAACGCTCGCAGGAGCTGCACAGTTGCTCCACTTTATAGGTCAGATTGGTCAGATATGCGGGGGTGGTTCCTTCACAGCACATGACCCAGACTGAGCAAGTTCGCGAGTTTGAGTTTGAGGCCAGCTTCTATGCTGTAAGCTGGTACTTCACACCATGCAGGCGTGCCGACCACGGAAGTGCATTCAGACAGAGTGGGAGATCGAGGGTCTCTCACACGGCAGGGCCGAGGGCAACAAAGTGGTGGAGACGTGGCTGTGGCGAACTGGAATTGCATACGCTTTGAGGCACTAGGGCAGGTCTGACCCAAAGACTTCGCGATGTGGTCTCTACAATCTGAAGGTACCATTTGGGCAGTATGGCCATGGGTGGTTTTATGACGATGCTCTTCCGCCGGAGGGCCAAGTTTCCTGCCTTCCTGGCTCGGGTGGAGACAGAGCCACGAGCTGAGGCCCCATCCACACGCCGATGGCCGTCTTGGCAAAGCTCGAGCCTCGCAGCCGACAGCAAGGGAACCCTGAAGTAGGCAGCCCAAAGAAGAACTCAGGCTGGTTAAAGCTGGCGAGAGGCGCCGGTGTCAAAATTCACCACCAGCAATAGCTATATACTGCAGCCTCGTCCCCCCTGCACTGCACATTTCTGTAAGCAAGCTCTCTTTCGCATGTGCCGGACGTTGATCAGAAGGCATGCGCCAGATGGCATCATGGCCAATTGCCTGGGCTGCGTTTGGTGCTTTGAAGAAGTTGTTCTGCACTTAGTCTCCGGATGTCTCCGATAGGTGCAGTAGGCTGACGAAGCCCGAGGTTCGCTTTGTCAACAAGAACGCAATTATTTGCATGGCCGCAGCCGCAGCGGTGCCTGTCGTGTGCAAAGCTTGTACTAACCTTTGGGCCATGGAGCCGAGGTGTTGAACTCGAGCAACTACTTCGTCTCTGCCACGGCAGCAGTCCCGGCCTGAACTCAGCGCTGTCATGAGTGTTGTCCTTCGTTGAACGTGGACGGCCAACTGTTGAAGTCAGAAAGCCTGTCATACCTCATTGTTTTCAGAAAGTCGAGATGCTTGGTGGTGATCGCAACAGGCCCAGACTTTGACGAAAGCCGGAAAGGACGTCACCTTAAGCACCGACGGTCGAATGAGACGAGCATTCGAAGCGGTTGCCTCTTGTCACCTTGTGGCATGCAAGGACATTGCATTCCTGAATGGGTTTACTGGCAGTCTGGGCCCTTGGCATGCACTCATGGTGCAGAAGACTCGCAAGAGTCGTGGTCTGAGGTCTGCACAGTCTTGGCATGCTTGCCACAGCGTGCCTGACGGCTTACCTGGCACTGCTTGCTTTGGGCGTCCTGCGGCTGCAATCGTGCTGTGTACGGAGAAGCGTCTGCAAGACTGAGCAGCTGAGCATCTCAGGGACTGGATATTTTTGCAGACCAGAGCTCGCCACTGTTCGCCTTGGCCTGAGAGTGAAGTTGCCCAAGGAAGGCTCCGCGGTTCAGCTGAATGCAAGGTGGAAAACCGAATTGCAGTTATTGTCGCTGTTGGTCTTCTTTCGGGTGCTGCCGGATGCTCAGACTTAGACGGCCTTTGTGTCAGAGAACGAGCGAAGCCCGAGTCTGATAGTGGGGTTTAAGAAGTGCTGGCCCCGTCGTCGTGAGGAGACGGTTACTGGTCGGTGCAATGCTTTTGACTTTCTGAGGTGGCATCAAGCTTCATGAGCCTTTTCGATGTCGTGTTCGACACGCTGATCTTCTGTTGGCTGGCAGACCTGCAGCCGACCGAGACCGTTTTCGTTCCCCGGCTCAATCCATAACAAAGTCAGAGTCAATGTTCCGTCCGTGCTTGGCCATGCACTCCTCAACAGGTTCCGCACAGCTTGCTGAACGTCTGGGCCTGCAATTGGTTTTGAAGTCTAGGATGTCCCTGCGGGAACTCACCTGTCTCCCTGAGGCCCTGGGACAGCCGCAGGGCCGAAAGGAGCTTTCCGATGCGGAGATAGATGTGGAGTTCGGTCGGCAACCGGCTGGGGGTCCAGGTGGGGCAGCTGTTCTTCTGCATTCGCTGGTTCTCGTCACCAATGCTAGAACCTCGCAAGCTGAAGTCTTATCTGTTTTTAGATTTTTTTCGGGCTGACCTACCGGCACAAATGAGGATCTCGTCAGCAAGGCATCCAACGCTTCGTCACATACGCATTTGAACTTGCACGCGCGACTTTCCCAAACTACGGTTCGAAGACGGTCACGGTTGTTTGGGTTCGGAAACAAGTCTTTTTTCAAAACGCAGCCCAACAACCCCATGGCAGCTACGGAACCTGTGGGAAACATCGGAGCGATGGGGTGCGAACACCCTACCGGGCAGATGGCAAAGTGTCGCGCAACAACGAGACAGAAGCTATATGAAAGACATCAAATCTAGTCAGTGTGATCAACCGGTACGTTCTAGATTTCGGCAAACCGTGACCTGCAGTGCAGGTGCCGCATACGGTCGAACTGACACAGGAGTGTGTTTAGGGTCACGCGCCTTGTCAGGCTCAGCAGCTGCGTCTGTTGGTCAGCACCTGAGACCTGAGTGCTTTATTCTCCAAGCTTCTCTTAGCTTGTCATTCTTCTGTCAGTTTCACCTCGCACGAGCCCGAGGCAGCCCATCGAACCAAGATGGACGAGAAGCAGCAAAGAGGGAAGCAGCACGAAAAGCTGCTGCAGAGCAGGATGCCCTCCGTAAAGCAGCCGAGCAAGAGGCACTTCGGGAAGCCGCAGAACGTGAAGCATCGCGGAAAGCAAAGCAAGCCCGCGAAGCACAGGAAGCGGAGCGTGCCAAATGGCGGAAGCTCCAAGAGGAGGAGGCTGCACGCCAGAAAGCGAAAGAGGAGAAAGCAAAGGAGATCGAGCTAGCAAGAGCTGCTGCGGAGGAGATCCGGAGGGCTCAGTTTGAGGAGGAAGAGAGGAAGCTGCAGTCCTCACAACCTCTGGCTCCCATACCAGCCCCAGCCGTGCCAGCTTCGAAAGAAGTCGCCGACACTGCCGTGGAAGCGGAGCCGGAGGAAGCTGCATCGGCTGCCCAAGCCGAGGAAGCACCGACAATTGCAGCCTCAGCTGTGCCGGAGGCAGAAGCCTCCGAGGCCCCGGCGGTGCCTGATAGGCCCGAAGAAGTCGCAACGGCTGAGAGCAACTCGGCTCCTGTGGGTGCACCGGCTGAGGAGAGGAGCCGCCAAGCCCCCGAACGCCCCGAAGGGGATTCGCTACAGGCAGCAGAGCAGTCAGAGGTTTTCAAGGCCGTGGGCCAAACGGATCCTTTCGCGGCGCCTTCAGAGGCGAAGCGGGAGCTACAGTACCTCTGTCAGTCGGGAAAATCGATTCCGCCAGGTGCCTTCGACACTGAACTGGGTTGCAGTGGCAGTCCAAGTTGTGGTGATGTGCGGGGAAAATGCCGTTCTCGGCCAGATGCTTCCTGGAAGCCTGCAAGCCTTTCCAAGGACTTCGAGTCTGCTTCGCCCAAAGTCGAGCCCGAAAAGGCTGGTGAGTCTGGTGTTGCCGTGCCGACCTCAGGTAGCCGGTTGCAGTGTGTTTTCAGCTCGCGCTGGGTGGGAGACCACGCGGTTCGTCCGCCGTATGTAGCCGCCGTACTGCTAAGCCTGGGGGTTGAGGAGATGCAGTTCTGCGGGAGGCTTGACGCATGCAAGGCCAGGAGTCCCACACTGAGGTATGTGCGACTCGTGAAATGCCAAGTGCTTTCTGAGGGGATCATGCACTCCACCCAGCACAGTCGCTCCAAGTCATCCTCGCCTGCTTTCGACTAGCCTTTCCAACCCCGGTCAAAACGTCGACAGCGTGGCGAAGGGTTTTTTTTCTGTGGAGGTGGTTTGGCTGGCATGATGTGATGATGTTGATGTGAGGTTTCGAGAGCATGGTATCATTCAATCCGCTTCATGCCTCTCCGCGTTGGTTTTGGCTTCCAACCTTTTGAATCCCACCAGCACTTTCGAAAGGCATGTTGGTCGTGTTCCTGAGTACATGGGTTTGGCCATGGTCTTAAATCCTGACGACACTTGGTGGAAGCATTTGAATAATGTTTCTCAATTCCGCTCGTAGAGGCGGGCAAGCATTTTGGCGGTGGTCCTGAACCCTGCCAGTACATCGGAAGCGTTGTTCGAGGTTGCATACAGGAGGGGATTGAAGAAGGGTGGATGAATGGATGGGTAAGTGGGTGGATGGATGGGTTGATGGGTGGATCAAGGAATGGATGCATGGATGGATGTATGGGCAGTTGGACGCGTGGATGTATGGATGGAAGCATGGAAGGATGGATGGAAGGATGGGAGGATGGACGGACGAGCTGAGATGAGGTGTGGTGAGATGACATGAGATGATGTTCCGTGTTGCCTCGCTGCTGTAAGCGCTTTCGGCACACTCGTTCTCAAGTGGCCTGGCCTGAACAACGAAGGTGGAGACACCTGCGGCATCGGCAGGCTAGCCTGTGCAGAGCCTAGAGCCTGCGATTCTCACGGGCATACCGGTGGCTCAAGACGGGCTACATCGATTGATTGATTTCGCTCCGGGATTGCCAGCCCAAAAGTTGAGGAGGCATAATTGCATGAAACTTGGCATGCAAAACTTGCAAACGTGGGCATTGCTGCACTTTGTGCTGCTGGGTGGACAAGACCGCTGACGGTGAGGATGTGCTGTACTTCAGCTCGTCGAGTTACAGCAGGTCAAGCTGAGAAGTCATGACGGCCGCTGTATGTGCGTTCGAAGTGATGTTGGCCGCGATACATGGATAAAGAGCCTGCTAGCTTCAACAGCTTCAACCGTCCACACCTCCGCGTGCCTGGCTGCCTGGCCATGGAGTGCAGATGTCGGGTCCCCAGCCGTACCTCTTGACTCTTGAAACAGCATTGGAAATAGGCGCAAGGGGGTGCATAATTCCAAGCTAAGAGCATTAGAAATTCTTTTGGGATTTGGTGTCGCTCGGGCTCGTGTTGCAGTGCTGCTGACTGAGTGTGTAAGGCCCCAGGGGATTTGGATAGCGGCTTCAGCTGGACGAGCGTTGCTTTGCCTGCGCAGAGTGCGATTTTCACTTGGTGGCCGTCGGCTTCAGGTCGTGGAGCAGCACAGCATGAACAGACACATGGCTAGAGGAATGCTGTCTACGACCGTCTGGTAGTCTAGAGTTCTGTCCATGTGCAAAAAAGCCCAAACGAATTGCCTCCCATCAACAAACACAACATGCAGAAGGGATCGGCCCTAAAGGTGTACAACAGCCAGCTCTAGGGGCAGGACACTTTAAAGCCAGCGCTGCCTCACCCTGCATGGGTGGCGTGGGGGTCTCAGAGCTTCGCTTTAGCTTGTTGACATATCCCGGGGTGATATTGGCCAGGCTATCCTGTGCAACAGATGCTGCGAGAAGGACATTTTGATGACCTTTTTGATGTAGGCTCCCGTGTATTTTTTGGAATCGGTGGAGCAAGGAGTGACTGAGAAGCGTGCTGCCACTTGATTGTGTGTGGGAGATCGCCGAAGCGAAGCGCTTTTGCGAAACGATCGTCCAAGAGCATCTTTGTGAGTTGGGGCCCGAAATGGCAAGGATGAGAGAGAGCGCAGCCTGGTAGACGAGTCCAACGCCTTGCAGATCTTCGGCCACGTGCTTGCAGTTTTTGCATCGTAGTCTCACCCCCTCCGGCACCCACGGGCCTAGCTGTCACAGCGGCTTGAAAATAAAGGCGAAGACTTCCCATCGCTGTCTTTGCCACAGCCCAAGTCGAAACATGAGCCATGGTTGCGTCTCAATGCTTCAGAATCCACGGTTCCCACAATCCATGCCAGAGGCCACCGATAATACCACAGAGGCGTGGTCTGACAGCCTCTAACTTTGAGCCATAACTCAGCGTACTATTGCTCGCATAGTCGCAGTCGTGTTCAGCTGCTAATCTGACATCTATGACAGGTCGAGCAAAGACCTAAATCAGTCGCTGTCGCCATCGCCGAAATCCAAGAGTTTTGTCCTGACACCCACTTCGCGGACTCCAAGAACACCGCGAACTCCCAAAGTCGAGCAGGCTGGGCAGATAGCACTTGCCAACCTCAGCCGCTTAACACTGTGCAGCAATCGAGTTCGGGGGTCGGAAAACAACTGATCGTGTCGGCTGTTGCAGAGCTGCGGTTTTCAGGTCTGGCTTTGGGCGCCTTTGGGCGGTAGTTGGCTTGGCACAGCCTTGGCTTTGAAACCGAGCCTAAGCTGCAGGGCAACATCGAAGACGAAGAAGATGGCGAAGGGGGATCATGCGAGTTGGAGCTGGTGGAGGAGCTGCTTTTCCACTGCGTAGACAGTCGAAGGTCCAAGCCACTGGGTGTGTGAACTTGCCAGCTCTGGCCCAGCATGACTCCTCGCGCTCATGAAATGTGTTCCGGGTCCGAAGGGCCCAATCGTCATCGACGAGTACTTCGACTTCTATGACCCTTACACGAAGAGGGCCGAGGCCGGCCGGGCCCAGGCCCAACATCCTCAGAGCTCCTACAGTAAGCGCCTTGGCCGTCAGGTGCTGGCATTGACTGAAGAAGTGAAGCACCAGCGGCCGGCATTAGGCTCGGGACTCTGACCAGCCGAGGTGAAGTGCCTCTTGGATTTGTCTCATGCGGCCCACTAACTGGCGAGGCTTAGCCCTCGAACAACCCACCCTTGCGTGGACACGAGCAAAACTCCGCGCGCCCCAGGATCTCCTGTTGGCAGGTGTCAGGAGAAACGAGGCCTTTGAGTCACGAAGCATCTCAGCAACTTCACACCCAGCCGCTCAACTTGCAAGACGTACGTGGCATCGCCGCCAGCTTCCCTTTTTCACAGCAGTGCCACAAATTCAACAGCATCTGATCCAGAATGTCAGCTGATATCTGGCAAAACCGAGAGGAAGAAGCCTCCGAAGACCAAGTGCGCCCTCACCCTTACCCGGAGAATCTCATTGCGGCGGAATTTAGATGCCGTCGTGTGTTGAGAGACGGATGTTATCCTCGGGGCACTCGAAGCGTCCCCGTGGAGCTTCACAGTTGAGCTCTGAATCTGTACCATGATTCCGCGACTGTTGGTCATGACCAGTGGGCAATGAATTAGTTGTGACGATGTGTCGGAAGCTGGCGCTGTCTGATTCTGAAAGTAGAACTGGCAACCAGCAACAGCACTTCCGCTGGCTCTCTGCGGCAAGGTTTGGCGCACAAGATTGACATTGGAGACCAATCTTCAGACGGTTCGCCCAGCTCTTACTGTGCTCAGTTCTAACTGTGCTCAGTTGGTTGCAAGGGAAGGTTGGCCGATACAGTGGGAAGGGGGTGTACGGTGTACGGCACCACAAAGCCACCACCACGTTAAAATCAAGCACGATCTTCTACCGGGTAGAATCTACCCCAATGGTGCGGTACGATCGCCTGAACCCCTGGCGCTTTCTGGCTTTACGTGGTAAGGCTGGTAAGACGTCCTTGATCTGTACCTAATGTCATGCCTGGCTTCGAAAAGCTTGAGATCCTATGGCCCAATCCTTTTATGCCTGAGGAGAGCATGTACGAGGGGTGAAAGATCAGTAGACTCAGACAGAGGAGAGAGGGAGGGAATGAGACAGAGATTACCCATGCGATTTGTATCACATCATCTCGCACCATGAGGCCACTTGATGCCCTGACCCCAAAGACGAGAGCTCGTTGTGAGGTCGAGGCGGGCTTGCGAGAAACTCCAGTGCGTTACACCAGCGTGTTGTGCCGCAAGGTCTTGACCAAGTGGGGTGTGCCATCCTCATGTCACTTAAGTCCGCAGTGTTTCCTGTGCTCGTCCAGCTGCTGATCCTGTGCAGGAAGAAGCGTGAGTAACACACCTGAAATTTAGGAGGCCGTGTCTGAGACGCTGAGGTCATAGCAGGCAAGCTGATTTTCTCGCAAGTGCTGACTCTCACCACGATGAGTAGCCGCTTGCCTTCCAAGACCGGCATCCACATAGAGATATGCTTTTACAAAAGTCGCATGCCATATTCATCCATGAATGTGGGCGTGCAATCGGGATGCTTGTCCATTTCGTGCCGGAAGCGAGTGTGCTACGCCGTGGTTTCGTTCTCCGGTCATCGAAACGACTTGAGCCCAAAGGCCTCGATCTGCTCCATTGTTTTGTAGCCGGAGATTCGCACATTTTTGGTTGATCCAGTGCTGGTAGGCATGTGGACGGAAATTTCAAGGGGCCGCGACCGAATATCGAGTTCTCGTATCGACTTGGAAATTGAAAGTCGGGCCTGGGCCTTCGCTCGATGGTACATTCCTGATTTTTTCCTTCGTGCACTTCTCACTCTCCCTGTGTCCGCCAGTGTCTTACTCACGAATCATGCTGGGAGAACGTTTGGGACATTAACTTCGAAGCTGTGCAAGGCATCTATGTCATTCGTGCACAGCAGGCCAGGGTCGAAAAGCTGCTCGGCGGCACTTGTCTTCATGCGGCATGGCAATCTCCGTTTCAATATGAGTCTGGGTACATCGCCAGCTGATCTGTGACGATGTCGTTTCTTAGGAACTCGCGAGTGTGGAGGTTGGATTGTCTACCACTTGCGCCTGTAGCAAGACTCCGAGCTTCCATGTGCACAGGCGAATCGAAGGAAGAGCGCGAAGGGTAGTCAGTCAGGCCTTTTCTGTTGCGTCGCCGCGCTTGGGTTCCACTTTTTGTGCGATGCAGGCCGCCCACCTTGCGGCCCGTGTGATAGAAGAGCCAGGGGACACGCTGCACAACCAGTGGCGCCTGGCCCAAGGAGCCCGTGCTGATCGCTGCGGTAATCTGTCCAGATTTTGCTGTGGTTTTGGTTAAAAACACCGTAAATAGTCAAGAAACAACAAACACGAGAGGGAGAGAGACCGGGGTGTTTGAGCTTTTGAGTGGAAAGGGAGACCCGTTTTCCTGTCCCCCAAGTACCGCCAAGCCCACCCATCAAAATGCGCACCTGCGCGGGGAGGACTGCCTCCAGCTTAAGCCCGACTTTCAACTAGCAAGTCTCGGGGAGCCTACTCGAGCCTATCAGCAGGCTCACCACTAACTCCGTGTTCCACCGAACTCCGTTAAAACACCAACAAGCGGAGCGCCCCCGGGTGGGGGTTCTGAGTGGCAAAGCGTGTCGTGCACCTCAGAAGACAAGAACAAAGGGAGGGAGACAGAGAAAGCTTCTTTGAGAGACTTTTGTATCGCTCCTGCTCAAGCACTGCCTTAGACATTGAGGGCCCCGTCGAAGCCATGGCAGTGTGGCAGCCGCAATGGAAGCAGAATGCGACGGGCACAGGAGCTGGGATCGGGCTCGCGAGACAGCAGCCATGTGCTTAAGTGCATCTTCTCACGTAACTTTTCGCATTTGTGTCTAGCTCTGGCTGTTAGCTGAAAGGGATTGTCGTGGTCCCCAGGAGGCTGGGGCGGCTCTGGCGGTTGGTCCCAAGGCAATGACTACCAAGGCAAAGGTCAAGCCGGTGCCTACAAAGGCTCTTCCTCAACGTGGAAGGGAGCTTCCACAGGCAGCTGGAAGGGAGCTGCTACCAACGGATGGAAAGGTGACGCTACGAGCACCAACGGATGGAAAGGTGACTCTTCGAGTTCCTTCAAAGGATGGAAACCAGAGGCTTCCACGGGCTGGAAAGGAGACTCCTCGTCGTCTTGGGGATGGAAAGGTGACTCCAAGGGCAAAGGCAGCGACGATTGGTCTTGGTCCAGCTGGGGCACCGGAAAGGGCTGTGGAACGTTTGCGAAGGGTAAGTTCGGCGGCAAGGACGCCAAGGGCAAGGGCAAAAAAGGTCGCCCAGCCGATTTAATTGGAGCACGCAGGCATTTGAGACAGCCGTGCTTGTTCGCTGGATGTGTGATGCTAGATAGCTGCAGCCTGCAGCTAGCTGCTAGCTGAGACGTGTTGTTGTCTTGACCGGAGTCGGGCAAGTTTTCTTAGTTTGTTTGACAGTTTCGCGTTTTTCCGCTTCCAGGTGTGGTTCGGTTCGGGTGACGGGCAACAGCTTGGTGCAGCGGATTCAAGTGTGCGGACGTGGTGGGCACGGCGTACCTGTCTTGGGTAGTATGGGCCGACGTACAAGGTGAGTGTCGGTGGGTCCAGAAGCTTGTTGGTGTGGCTGCGGTGCTGGTGCGTGCATCCAGCAGGTTTGGAGTGGGTGTGGCTGCTTGCGAAGGTGGGGGCGTGGGTGCTGGTTTTGAGGGAGGACGTTGTAGGGCCAACTGCAAAAGTCGTTGGTACTGGAACCGTGGGTTGGCACGCAAACGCAAGACAGGTTGGCTAGTCTGGAGTTGGATTCTTCTGCTGACGAAGATCCGCCGATTCAGTTCGGCACTAATAGCAAGCCCATAACACTGGAACACTGCAACAGTGTACATGGAACACTGCAACAGTGTACAAGGCATGGGCACTGGTGACATGCACGTTGCAAGAGCATCTCTTGGAGATCCGTCGGCGAAGGGGGAAGCTGAATCTTTGGTAGCATGCGTCCTCGAAAACGTCCTGAGCAATTCCCATCTGTCGATTGCTCTTTTTCGTGAGAAACCTCATCAGTACTTAAGATAGGCTGTTGGAACATTGGCTCTGAAAATCTGAGATCTTCTGTAGTCTCCTGTTCATTGTTGGAATATCGTGTTGTATCGGGTGTGCCCCGTTCCGAAGTCACGGACCGGATAATCAAAGAAGCACTCATTCAATGCCTTCCCACTCCCTCGGTGAGCACGACTTTCGCTGGCATTTTCAGTTCTTTGTGGGTGAGCCTTTGCCAGCTTGCATGTGCTCCGAGGCAAGCGGGGTCCTGGCCACAAGCTACCTCGCACCCGAATTACGGAGAACCCGGTGTTGGGGGAAGTGCTGGAGTGGAAGGGCATCTTGTCCAATCGGGGTACAGCCTTCAGTCTTGACGGAGCAGCAGACACTTCAAAGCCTGCTGCATGTTGATGCGACGACCGACTTGCATGTTGTGCCTCGAAGAATCCGAGCTTGAGGCAAATACGGCTGGATTAGACCGTCTGAGCAGGTGCAACACGCACAGGCCTGGCATGCTTTTTGTTTATCGTTGCGGCCATCGGATCCATGTACGTCAAACGCAGTTCGATATGATCATTTGCAGGCTGATCGGCGAGAAGGAAAGATCTTTGTTAGCCAGCAGGACCTTGTCGGTACGTCTGTGCCGCCCTCAGATGGTAGTCTGTACATGTCCACAGGTCTCGTTGATCTTGCAGCTAAGGAATTGATACCGGGTCGACTGTGCCAGTTTCAGATATTTTCAGACCCGTCCGGGCTTGGTGCCGAGGAGCTGTCGTAGCTTGCAGACTGCACAGAAATGCAGCATGTAGCCCCAGGGATGTGCACTTGTGTGCGATAAACGAAACGTATTAGGCGACATTGAGACCAGCAGCCAGCACCCAATTGTTATTCATAAGTCAAGACCTGAGGCAGGAGTGAGACGGGTTGACAGGACTTCAAACTGCGCTCGACATGCATGGAAGACATGTTCAGTACTCGCCGTTTGTGCTTGCCAGGAGTGTCTGCAGGCCTGACAGCGCAGAGATGGATGAGACTTCCCGGTTCTGCTGATGCCCTGCTTTCTTGCATCTTCCATCTGAGCACCTTTGGTGAGCTTTTGGGGAAAGGCCAAGGCCACGGCCGTGACCCAACTAAGGGCTCCAAAGCAAAAGATATGGCTTGCTCTGGGCTGAAGGTTTTGTGCAAAGAGACGGCCACCCATGATACTGCAGCACTGCAGCTTGGGAAGACTTGCAAAAAGGATGCCTGCTTTGCGCCTTGCAACCTTCGCGTAGAGCGAATGCCGATTTCACGTGGCAGCTGGTGTGCGCGTGCAGAAGTAGCCCTTCCATGAAAAGTGGAGGGCCGTGCAGACACTGCGAGGAGGGGCCTTGTCTGAGCTTTTCACGACAGAATACGTTGACACTTTGTGGGGCGCCCGGTGATGCAGCATGCGACCTCGAGTTTCCGAAGCTTCTGTTTGCAGGGGCACTGCTTTTGAGGATGATACTGGCGAAAGCCAGCTCGAAGCTGGTGGCGGTTCAGCCAGTCCTCACCGAGGTGTCAGCAACCGCAGCAACCACATAGGTCAGTGGCACTGATGCCAAGTGCTTCAAGCGGCGGGCTCTTCCCAGGCAATGTCGACTTTGTATCCTGGGCAGGCCAGAGTTCCTTGTCGAATCTTTGGCGACATCCATGGTCAACTCCGGGATCTGCTTCTGATTTTCGTGGGGTCCCGAGCTGCCCATTTTCTCTTGCAGCTCAGAAGGTGCCGATGCATTTCGCAGACACTTAGATAACATGTCGCATTCCACCCGTCACAGATGCCTCCTGGAGTACTCTTGTCGGTCCATTTCGTTTGTTGTACGACCCTTCCTGAGTGTTGAAACGGGTTTGCCATCCGACCGCGCAGCTGAAGCAAACGACCTTGGCAAATGTCGACGGAGCTGCGTGAGATGCGACATAGTCTGGGTGTGCGCACGCAAACTCGAAATTTAAAACTGGTGAGGGTGGTTCGACAACTAGCAAGGGAAGTTGTGGACGAACCTTGCAGAGCTTTGCCAGACCCTCTCTGCAATGGTTTGGTTCAGGGTCTCAGGGCTGATTGGTGTAAGAGTATTTGCTTGTGATGTCTTGTCGCATCTTCGCCGTACCCTGCCTGTTTGTTTTGTATGTAGCTTGCTGCTGCATTGATCGGTTGATGACTAGCCAGGCGGGCTAGATGGCAAGGAGGCTAAGCCAAGAACCCCAGCAATCGCTACAGAGGCCTGACTCCAGACGTTTGAGACTTGCAAGGGAGTAGTGAGGTATGGCTTGGCATCGAAGCCTGTCGTTTTGTCAAACCAATGTGTGTGTGTGTGTGATTCTCCAAGTCCTGGCCCGAGTGCGGAGAAGGTCCTGTCGTTCAGTGCAACGCTTCCACGCTGGGGCAGAAGACACAGCAGTAAATATGTCAGCTCCCGGCGATTACTGTAGAAGGAATGAGCCGTTGAGGCCGTCTTGGCACTAAACCACACATTTGCTCTTTGCACACTTTTCGCTCCTGCCTTCGCTAAGGCCGCCTTCGGCTTCCCTGGAAGCAAAGAGGACAATTTGAATGACCTCGAAATGTGGCTCCCTTAGAAGGGCTTCGTCTGGGAGTGTTCAGGGGTTGGTCGTCCAGGCCCGAGGGAGCTTAAGATTCCAGACTCCATGTCACCGGGATGCCGGCAGCCCTCTTTTGGAGTAACCTGCAATGGCAGCAGCACGCCGTTGAGACCCTTGGGAGCTACTTTCGTAAACTAAACCCAATAACAGATGTCGAGTGAGCCTTTTGCGATCAGAACACTATCTAACATCGTCGTTCGGACCGAGGACGGTTCTCGTGCTGCTAGCATGATCAACCTGGCATGTAGTATTCAGTATCTGTGACGGGCGAGACACTCAAGAACTAAAATGGCGTAACATCTCAACCCAACTTCCTTGGGCGTCATGAAGACTTATGGGAGTGCATTTGCCTAAGCTGTTGACAGGTCTTATGTTTTCAACGGCGACTTCGTCGACAGGCCGCACTTGAATGAAACTTGAGGCATGGTTGTATCTTGCAAAGGGCCGAGTCCTCGCCAGGGGAGCGCACTCCCTGGAAGTCATTGGACTGTTGCTGGCCTTGAAAGTTCTTTGCCCAGCTGCGCCTCAGCATTGATGGGGGCCCGGCATGCTCGGAAATGTTGAGGTCTCAATGCCGGACCGTGCTGCAGCCTCAACCAGCTGCTGGCGACGTCTTCACTGACAGCCACTTTCTCCTGTGATATACCAGGTCTGGCTGGTTCGTGGAAACCACGAGGATCGCACCATGAATGCCAGATATGGCTTCTGGGAGGACTCACATGCCTGGGCTGAGACAATCGCTTCACAGCAACAGCTTTCAAGCTTTCCAGGAATGCCACGATCGTCTTGGTGACACATTCGGCCGCAAAACTTATGCCGGCTTCTCGGTGCATGATGAACGCTCCTTCCGAAATCTGCAAGACATACTTTCAGCCAGGACCTTTTTCAGACTACATTTGACCAGCTACCGATCGCTTGCCTCGTCGCCAACAAGATCCTCTGTGTGCACGGAGGTGTGGGGGATGGGAGGCGAGATCCTCAGGCAAAGAGCGTGGAATACGTCTATATGCAGACTTTAATGGGATTAGTTTGCCAGGTGGGATCTTAATGATCTGCGAGCTGTCAGACGACCTTTGAGCCAACAGGTGCCTTCTGCGAAAGCTGTTTCGCGAAGATCTGAAACCCTGGAGCGGTTGTTGCTTTTCCAGATGGCAGGAGCTTTGTTCGGCGAAGCTGCGTTGGGATCGGAGCTCAACTGTCTGGCAGTAGAAGTAGTCTGGGACATCAGCCCCAGCAGTTTGGCGCGCATTGCAAGGTCCACAACATTCTGTGGTCAGATCCAATCGAGGACGGCCTCTGCCGTTGCTTTAGCAGGCTGCTAGCTCCCCTTGATCAATGTTTCCAAAGATAGCATTGATTTGACATGACGCTTGTTTCAATCAGCTCAACTGTCCAAGTCTGGGAGGATGATCGTGAACAGCGATCTGAAGAATCAGGTGGGAACGCTTAGCATGTTGCTTGGACAACCAGATCTCAATGGACGGTCAAATGGTGCCAGATCTGATGACAACCTGTTGAAGTTCAGCTGGCTTGTCTGCTGGCCGAGTTGCATTCAGGCCCTGTCTTCGGTGTGCATGAATCGCCACGGAACACAACTGCGGTCCTCTTTGGTTGGGTCGGGGACTCTGCCTGCGATCTCGAAGCCTCCCACGTGATGTGCCTCAAGAGTCTTCTCTCGTGGCTGCTAAGGATGTAACAAAGACATTTTGTGCCAAGAACGGTATCAACATGGTCGTGCGCAGCCACCAGTCCAAGAAGGATGGAATAGGCTGGCAAGTGGTAGGCTTATTGGGAGTTCCGCAAGGATTCGAGCGTGTTCGGTCAAGTACCGACGGGAAGACGAGCCGTGGACAGATGGAGATAAGAAGAGAAATGTCTCTGATGAGTCCAAGCACGAAGCAGCAACAGACGAGCTTACAGGCATAACTTAACATGTCCAGGCAGGCGTGATGACGAGTTTTTTCCGCCCGCTCGTTGTTGTGGTAGCGGGAGTTGAGCGGGTTTCAGGCCACCAGTGATTCCAACAGTGCTCTTGGCACTTCACGGGGCAAGGTAAGCTGTTGAGCGTGTCTAATTATATTGAGGGACTGAGGGACTGCTAGACCCGTACACAAACAAAGAAACTTCGGTCTGCTTCGAGCTGCCAATGTCCATAGAACCTTTTCTGTTTTTGTCAGGCATCTGGCGCTCTCGCCTCGCCCCCCTTCCCGCATCGTGTGGTGTTCGAGGGGGCCGCATACGACGACGGCTTCTCGACGGTGCCAACGTCACAATTGCTTGGGGTCGGTCGTGACCGTCGCCCAACTTGATTGCTTGACTGAAAGGAATCTTGGGATCGTTTGTGTCTGTGTAAACGTTGCCGTTGGAGGGGAAGACCATCGAGATCCTCGTGACTGTCGTCGATACATGAGGCTTCAGATTGCCGCCCCAGCAGGGACCCAAACACACCCACCCACACACAGACTTTCAAGAAGTTGGGCGCACTCTTGGTTGGCAACATGAAACAGAATGATGTTGATGCTGATGGTAAAGGAATGGCATACGAAAACAAGATGAGATGATCCGTGAGAGTATGGGTCCTGCCCTCGCGGTGTGAGGCACGCATCACGCAGCACGAAATGAGATGAAAATGAGGATGATGGTCCCGATGGGGCCCAAGCGCAGACCAAAGCAGTCCCCCTGCAAGATGAAATCGACATGTTCCGGGGCGTGACCCCGTTAAGTGCATGAACGAGAACCACACACGCACACACAAGAAGAAGGGAGGATTGAAGAAGACGAACGAAAACCCACTCACACCCGCAGGGGGAAATCCGTTCAAATTCACACACAGCGAGGAAACCCACAAATCGGGGAGCGACTCAGGGGAAAGGAGGGGAAGGGATTCACGAAACCTAAACCCACCCGTCCATGCAATGGAGCTTGATTGATCTTGGGGCGGAGGACTTCATGCTCCATCCACGTTGGAATGTGCACCTAGGGCCTGGTAGACAGCATGGGCAACGCTGTTCATTATAGACTTCTGGCAGGAGTGGGCATGCGTTAGCGCTGACATGCCTCGAAAGGTGTTGATGTGATGCATGACAACATGCTGATCCGAGTGTTCTCAGCACGCGATTACGAGGCCGGGCTTGAGCAGCGTGTCAGAAGGAAGATTGAAGCATGCAAGCATCGCATGGTTCGAGCTTGCCCTGCTGGAAGGGTTCATGCCTTTTTCCGCACACCGTACCTGGCACATACGCTCCACCCGAACAGGGCCACGGAAATGATGGCGCAGTCCTTCTCGTACAGCCAACCGACGAGGGTGCTCGGTCGTTGGATGTAAATTCTGTCTTGTGTGCGGGGCAGCTCGGCAGGTGTTTCATGCTTGCGTGTCTGTAGAAATGGCAGGAGATGCCCAATGCTGTGATCGGCCAGAACAGATCATGGTGAGAGCGCAGGTTCTTGGATCGTTCGCCAAGGCCACGCGGAGCCGGTCAAGAACACCAAACAGTTCATGTAGTTGGGACTTGTGAAATGCTTAATTAGGCGACGGCCAATGCCAGCCGTGGAGCTCTTTACCGCCTCAACGTGTCACAGGCTCGCACGTACTTTAGCTGAGCGAGCTAGCGCCCCCTCCCAGTGACAGTCTTGACAGGACATCGGGCGTTGAGCCATCGGGCATTGAGCTGCCTCAGCGAGAGCTTGAACTAGCTTCTCTTACGTGTATGGCAACATAAGCGCATGCAGCATGGTGTACATGCCAAATCGATGAGCAGCAGGCAGTGGCAGAAGAGACAATACGACTAGATGGAACGAGTCTGCAATACAAATCTAATTGATTTTGCAAGACACATCTCAGTTTCACCGTCTGCATCGAATGAATGTGACAGAATTTAACTTCGTAGGTAGTTCCCAGGCCCGATGCGCCTAATTTGTAATCCGCATCCGACTGCCCAGCTGGGCTTTGCCACATACAAACGTGGCAACAAAACGTGACAATTTGTGCTAGCAGCTGCTCTCGTTTGTCTGCTTGCCACCCCTGCAGAAGCGGCCTTTATGCCGAACTTTATGCGCTGCCTGCAGGAGCAAGCATGCTTGCCAGAGCTAGCTCAATCTTCGGTTAGCCTTTCCTGCGTTGAGGTGCTACGAGTGCGTGCTTTCGTCCTGAGTCTCGGCTGTCGCCGTCCCCGAGAACAAAGCAGGATGAGGTGCACTGAAGAGTTGCACCAATAATCTAAGTCGGGAGGTAGATGAGGCACAGTTGCTAATTACAGGATGACTTGAGACATGTGCAGGCAGATGTCATGGTCAGCTTCGTGGTTCGTGGTCAGACGAAAAGTGAACAAGTCCCACGCAAGTCGCTGACAGACGAGGCGAGTTTACTGGGTGTCTGTGGACGGCGTGGACAAGGTCCGATTGTCTGGTGGCTTGCGAAATTCCTGCGCAGGTCTCTCCAGTTTTGTGCTGTGCTCAGCTGCTTCCCAAAGGTCCTCTGGGATATTGATGTGGGACTTGCCTGCTTCGGCTTCGCAGGCGGGCTATGGTGGAGGAACGGCAGGACGACGACAGCTACACACGCGGCGAGCAGGCAGGGTGCAGCGACTGGTTTGGATCGCTGTTGCTTTGTTGCGTCAGGACTCGCAAGGCCGCTTCGTGCTGGAGGGCCCCACCAATGCAAAAGCTTTTGCCTTGCTGGTCCGGAGCCCAAGCAGGGAGTACCCAGAGCAGCAGCGAGCACCTGTGATGATGGTCAAACCTCCCATATGCAAATGCGCGATACGTGCAGTTATGTTGATGCTGCGCACGTTGTGCCCACGTCCCATATCTCCGAATGTGCACGTGGCCTTTCTTGTAAGCCCGTGCTCAGAAGGTGACCGATCCTGAACGTCGTAACATAGCCCAGTTTTGCTGGTGGCTCCCGAGGTTGAGTGCGTGCGGCAGGTCGGCGCGGCAGCTTCACGCAAGTGCACCCGTAGCAGACAGCCGCTGGCATAGCCCGTGGCATCGGTGGCCTCGAGAACTCAAGATCTTTTCGCCAGCAAGCTCGGCTGCAAGGACATGGACAGTATCAATCCAATGTGTGTTCAGAACTGACAGTCTCCCCGTGGTAGCACCCATCTTGACACAACAGCATAACCATGCGCAGTTGTGTGCCCGTATGGGCACCGAATAGCCGTAGTGCAAAGCATCTGTGGCAGCAAAGCTGCAGAAGCACACCAGCCGCGGTTGTAGAACTTGTTTTGCAATTTGGACGCCGCACAGTGGCTGAGCATCTGGAGCCATGGTTTCTGGTCTTATCGTGGGTGCTGCGTTTGCGGGCATTTACAACTGGGCGTCTGGCGTCGCCTGGTGTAAAACAGAAGGAAAGTCTGTAGTAGATTCTTTAGTTTTGGCTTAGCATGGTTGGCTGGCCACGGTTGGCTGCAGGTCTACTCCTACAATCGGGATGCCTGGATGACTGACATACAGGCAGGCCCTGATGCGGAGCATGAGCAGACTGGGCTTAGGGCCCGGCTGCCTTTCTATGTCGATGCAGGTCGAGCAAGCTCATCACTATCAAAAGGACTTGATCTCCCTATGGCATGAGTGCCTGTGCCTTCTTGACATTGTGCCTGCCCGCCGTCCAACTGAGGTAGCTAAAGTGCATGAAGTCTGGAGGACAACCTGCAAATTCAGATGCAAGCAATGCGACGAGACGAAGTTAGAGATCTTGTAAATTCAGACATCAACCGGACTCTCGGATTGCGCATGATCTCCCTCAACGGTTATGGGTAAGTGTTGCAAGCCACACAGATCCACCTACCCAAGGATCAACAGCTCGCTCTTGGTCGCTACATTGATTTTATCACTGGCAGGACTGGGCAAGGTTGCACACGTGATTGCGGAAAGCCGCAACATAAACCAGGCACGCCATCTGCGCAGGAGAGATGCTCTTCGAAGGTCAGATTCCAACAGATTGCCCTCCTTTTGTGCCATGCCCAGCTGTTGAATTGCAAAAGTTTGGCGAGATAACGCCACAGAGTGCTCACTTTTCGAGCAAGTCTTGACACCATGCTCTGGGAAAGCACTTCCGTTTTCCCACTTTGGGCACAATTACGATTGAAGTTAAAGATGGTTGGGTAATGATGGGAATGGGGCAATGTGAGAGGGTGGGAGCTGGGAGGGAAGGTTGGTGACAAGTGGGAGTTGTCGAGTGCGTGGCCACTCCCAAGCACACGTCGTCTGAGTTTCAAGAAGGCGGGAAATGGTTGGAGATAGGCCTCCGTGTTCTAAACCAATGGGGGGAAGTAGAGGCGAATTGGACTTCGGTGCAGTGGTGCGGCCGTTTCCCAGCACTGTTCCACGGTCCAGCGCCAGGTGCTGAATGCCTACATGCTCTGCCTGGGCAGCGCAGTCTTTTATTTGACCTTGTCCATTCTGTCTGGAATCATCGCCAGCAACACAGCGTACCGAAAAGCCGCAAGGCTTTGACTGGGTTGCTGACAGGGGAGGTACTGCCGACTATGTATCGTGTGTAGGTTTGGGAAGGTGGCTTGGACAGAAAGGCATGTGTTTTCACCCCTGCTGCTGCCGTGCATGCAGTTGTCAGCTTCGGAGTGGTGCAGCAGTCGAGGTCGAGGGCTAAAAACTCTGAAAGTCTGAGCACTTGCAGTGGAGGCTTCTCGTTCACTACATTCGCCCACGGTGGAAGCAGCATTTTCAGCAGCTGCGTCAACGCCAAGCCCACGTGCCTTGTCGGGATTTGTGATAGGCGCTAGGTTCGGCGGCATGCTGTCCCTTGTAATCCCCTCTGTAAAATCTGTAAATCCTATGAGTGGGTGCTCTTGGCAAGCACGAAATGGGAAAGCCCCTTCCGCTCTTCTGAGTGTGTGAGGAAAACACTGCCTGTTTCGAGTCGAAGCCTGTTGGCCAGATGATGCTGATCCTTTGCTGCATGCTGGTTGCCAAACGGCGCATGTCCAGAATAGTTTGGCTCTCCGTGCCCTGAGAGCAAGCACTTGCCTAACAGTTCTTCAGATGCATGGGGCTGTAGGCCAGCCCGAGCTTGCAACGACAAAAGCCTCATCTTAGCAGCAAACTCGGCTTTCCACCGTACCGACCACATCTTAGTTTGCAGCCTGAATGTGCCAGGTGGGTCGTAGATTCCTCTTGCATCTTTGGATCGTTTGGTTCAGGTTCCACTTCAGGTCAGACAGTCCACGTCAGGTTAGACAGTGAAGTGCCGTCCAGAAGCATCTGATCTCCAGTCTGTCAAGGCTTTGCTGTAACAGGTTTCTAGAGGCTAGCGGAAGCTGTTGACACGGGATGTGTTTTCATCCGGCTGCGCATGTTCCGCTCAGGCCTCCACTGGCCGGGCGAATGTGGAGATCATTTAAGATCCTCGGCGGTGAAGCACCTTCGCACGATCTGACGCGACTCGTTCGGCGCATGCCGCGATTGCTCGGTTCTAGGCGGAAAAATGCCGACAAGCCTGACAACCTCTCAAGTCCAAGGGCGGTGCCGAGTTGCAGCAAGTGCAGTCAATTCTTTGGAAGCGTGTTTTGGCTTTTCGTCCAACCGCCTGCAACCCGCCATCAGTTTCTGGAGCACCTGTCTGCAAGGTGCCGCATAGCTTGAGTGACATGCATAAGAAGAACATCGAGCGCTTTTATTCTTTCGAGGACATTTTTGGATTCCTTCCGCGTAGAGAGCTTGCTTTACTGCAGGGCAAGAGTTGTTGCAGCGGCAGGAGAGCTCTCCAGAGACCTCTTCGCGCAAGAACCAGCCATCTTTCCTCAGGGGATGCTGTAAAGCCGAATCGAGGACCGGACCGAGCTTGCATGAATTATCCGAGGAGCGCCGTCTTTGGTGCACCGTCTTTGGTCAGGTCGATGGGGAAGTTCCTGGCGGGTGAGGATGAGGCCGACTCCGACTCCGACGGGGAGGATCGGCAAAATCTCCAAAGAGCCAAGCGGAAGTGGCCCCGCCCTCGGCGAGTCCTCGGCTCCTCGCATCTGAGCTCCCCTGCGACTCCCTCGCTCGAGGCCGGTGCAATGGTATGTGAAGTTTTGGCACGATCCCAACCACGTGCCCGACTTAATTCACCTTCATTGCATGGCACGTTTAGCTCGGCGAGGTTCCGCTTTCGCCGAGAAGCTTAGGAGTGGCAGAAATACTGCAATTGCATGTTCTTGAGCGTTGCGCGTGGCACCACCAACTTGGTGGAAGCCTGTGGCTACCTGGCGGTGGGCACACTCTATGGTGGTTATGCCGAAGCGTGGGCGTTCTGGGCAGTGCAGATGCTGTTCTCTGTCGGGACCTTGGTCAAACACGAATCCCACGAGTATTTTACTGGCCGAGCGTTCCAGACTAGAGTTGTTCGGAGGTGATCAACGTCATGGTGGTGAGATTCCTGCTTGGCAAGTTCGAAAGGGAAGCTGCAGACAATGACTGGCGCGACTGCCTTCTGAAGCCCAAACGCCCCTTCCTTTTGGCCTTCGTGGTGGCTTCGGGCCCTTTGTGGTGTGTCATCGCAGCTGCGACTTCCTTCGAGATGCTGGATCGGTTCCTCATTCCTACATGCTACGGCACCCACACAGTGGTGAACATGTACTTCGAGCCATGGCAGCATGAGTGCTTTGTGTGCTCTCTTTGTGTGCTCTCTTTGTGGGCGACTCCAGGTCTGGTGGCTGGATCACATGACAGAGAACATGAAGCCCGTCGCTGAGGAGGAGGAGGAAGAAAGCTGCTTGCTTGCACGGTGTCTTGGAGAGTCTGTGAGGGTTCAACAAGGCAAGTTCTCTGGGTCAGCTCGAAGACGCATCTAACATGAGGAAAAACGGAAGCCGGCTTGTGGTGCGCAGTTGAGGGCATGGGTTCTCCAATAAAGTCGTCAAGGGGGCTTGTGGTTGTGCATTCAGGGCCACAGGTTGCGCCGTCAATGGCAGAGGCCTGTGCAGCTTGTCGCAGCCCGACGTCGTTGTGCAACCGAGCAAGTGGCCGCACAGATCCCTCGAGCATTCGAGCTGTCAAGACTCGTCAGCCGAGGCTCCGAAGATCAGCTCGAGCTCGGGGGTGTTGGAGTAAGGAACGAGAGCCTTGGCAGGAGAGACTGATTCCAAACACCAGTGGTCTTGGTCCTGGTGGTAAAGTTTGGATATACTGTTCCGTCTCTCTCTCTCTCTCTTACAGGTGTCTTCATAAAAGTGCGTTTTCTTCGCTGCTGATGCCTATGCAACGGCTGTGCCGTCAAAGGCGTGGTCCCCGGCCTAGAAGACCGAAAGAGAAAGGCGGACTGAGTGGAATGATGATGCTCTGGCTTGGTAGCTCGCCTGGACTCGAGCAGGTTATACGGGTCCTCAAGGGCAGGCACTGCTCAGCCTTCGCGTGTTAGTTTGCAGCACAGACATTGCCGGTCACAGCATGCATCGCAAGACTGCCTCGCACGTCACGCATGCGGAGACCGTTCTTGCATTCACCGCCAATGCTTGACATGGTCTTGTGCACGTGACTACTTGACCGGACCCGTGATTGAGCGATTCAAATTCAAAAAAGCTTTTGGTAGTAGCTTCACGCCAGTTTGTAAACTGATCCGGCAGTCGTGTATCCGCGAGCCGACATTCCGAGGCACGCTGGTCATTAGCGCATTTTGGATGTTCGCCTTGGTCTGGGCTCTCCATGGACCGGGACTTAACCTTCGTGTACCTTGTGGAGGCGAATGCATGGAGACGGAGCTTTGTGTTTTGTGAGGCGCTTTCTACGGGATGGATTTCAGAAACAGCAAGGCCCGACTTCCGACTTGCGTGTCGCAGTGGGTCCGATTGCATATGCATAGTCCCGTGAAGAGCCAAGGCTGCAGTTTCGATGTGGCATGATGGGCCGCCACTTCTTGAGGCTGACCATGACATGCGGCTGCACTGACATGCTCTGAGTCAGTCGTGGGGACAGTGCTCGTCGAGTGTGATTGCGGGGAAGCGTCCTGTGGGATTGTGTGGTGGCTGTGGCGTGCCGGGTTTGGCATGGGACAGAGTTCGGGTGGACGTATACTGAGTGCAAGCCGGAGGGGGGGTGGGGGGGAACGTTTTCAGGCCCACAAAAGTGAAGTGCTGTGGAGCAAGGAACACTGCGGCGTCTCCCCATGCTGTCTCCAGCTTGCCAGCTTGCAAGTAAAGTTGTCCCATGCTGCCTTGCATCAAGACTACTCCTGCCGGCTTTTTCTTGTTGGCTTGGTGTTGGGTACATCATACCACCCAGTATCTATCCGCGTTGATGCGCAGTGGACATGAAATTGTACCGCTCGAGGGTTGCGGACCACGGATGCCCATGGAGGGACGAGGAAAGAGTGCAAATGCAGTTGATCTGGATTCCGCCGGAAGGGACGGACCGACCCTGCTTGCAGATGCTTGCAAAGTCTGAGCGGATAGCAGGGAGCACCATTCGTGCTAATGGCAATGCTTTATTCGATGCTTTTCTCGGTCGCCAACATGGGCACGGCAGAACTGTCGTGCGAATGCGCAGGTATCGGCAACGGATATGGCTTCGCCAAGCCCATTTTGGAGTCCCCATGCTCTGGTGTGCCCACGGAACCAGGCAGGGCTTGCCTGCCGTCCTAGCTGCATGACACACTGTGTTCTCGCCGCAAGTCAGCTGCGGGCAGGTATTCATTGCAGACCGATACCGTGTATATGATGCTGGCCCGAATCATAATGTGGTGCAGATCGCAGCATGACATGGACATGGCATTGCTCACGGTTGTCGTCCCTGCAATCTCAGGAGTTGAAAGACAACAAGTCCACTGTCGTGGTTTACCCTTGCTCCTCTCTTGAAAACAGGAAGCTAGAATGTGAAGTTTTGCAGACAAGCTGCCGATGGTCAAGGTTCAGTGAATGGCACCATAGCCGACATCTCGGCAACTTGCGATGCGACCCATTGTTGGCCAATCATCCTGGTGCACCTTGGACTTGGGGACATGTAGTAAGTCCCACTGTTCTCGACAGTTGCCAGCTCTCCGCTGGCAGGACCCTGTGGGTAAGCTCAGGGCGGCAGCTCAAGACCCCATGTTCACCGCTATATCCGCAATGAACAAAAATTCGACAAGCTTGCACAAGTGATGACAAGCTTCGGCATTATGTCGGGTGTTCGCCCAATCCCAGTTCCAGCAACCATGTCAGAGGCCCTTAAAGCCTCTAAAGCCGAAAACCCCTGAGCTCGAGCCAGTTGAAGAACATTTAATGTAATACGATGCAATATGTCATACTGTGAAATAATAGTCTCAAGCACTACAATCTGATATTTTACGATGTGTTTTTGAAACGAAAAATCAAAGAGTAGCATGATGAAATAGCATCTCACATAAGAAGGTGTGATATGACATGCTCGCACAGCTATGCACAGGAAGAACATGCGACAGTGAAAGCCATATTTGCTGCAAGCATCGGCAGGCGGCGGTAGGTTGGTCTCATCTCGCCGGTCTTCAAACGCCGGGCGTGTGAGACCACCTGCCACCCCACCGATTTGGGCGGAGTGGGCGGGTGCGAAAAACTGGCAGGTTTGGACAGGACACAAGCTGCACGTGGCAAAGCATGCTCGTTATATGTCATTCAGTGCACAAGTGCACACCACTACACTTCAAAGGATAATACACTACACTTTAGCAGAATATAATACAACATCTTATAGGTATAATGTAGTACATTATAATACAGCATAGTATAGCATAGCATAACCACACAATACAGCAGGACATACTATAATGTAGTATTATATGACGGGATAGAATAGAACAGAATAGACTAGAATGTGCTGTAGCATGAGATAACATAGCGGAGTATAAAATAATGTCATAGAATGCAAAAGAAGTACAGCAAAGTATGGCAAATCATGGCCTGTTATAGTGTGGTATAGTATAGTTTAGCATAGCATAGTATGGTATAGGAATTGTGTCGTACAGTATAGTATAGCATAGCACAGTATAGTATTAGTATAACATAGTTTGTCTGCAGTCGTCTTTCCCTCGCACAGCATTCGCTAAGGCATGGCACTCCATCCTTGGTAGTGGTCCCATGGCAGCATCTGGTCGCCAGAGCAAGGCCAGCTAGGAAGGGGCTAAGTTTTGTCGTGCCAGCTGACATCCAGGGTCTGGTTTCAAACCTTGTGTTTGTTGTTTCTGGCTGTAGCACACCTGACAATCGCATTTCGACGTCTCTTAGTTCATAGCTGAGGATTGCAAGACTGGAATCCACAGCCCACTGCTTCAATCGAGTGGCGAAGCCCAGCGAATTGCCACCAGCAGAAATGCCACCCGACATCGACCAAGCCTCGACTTACGAATTTCGGTGGTTTCCAGCAAGCATAGCAGCTCTTGAGTCTTCCAGACCTGCGAAAAAGCGGCGAGATATGTGTTGCATCGCACCGTCTCAGCCGAGGCCTCGGCCAGCACTGGTGCACTTGGAACTCTTGTAGCCACCATTAAAGACAAGGTCATATCGCAGCAACTTGGATTAACATGTAAGTGCTCGCCGGCGCTGACGCGACATGTAGATTGCAGACGTTTGATTGATTCTTTTGGGCATGGGTGGACAAGAAAGCAGTGCAGCGGAAGCCTGTTGCATGCATATGTGCAGCGTGCCAGAGGGCCGAGTTTTCACCGACTCTCGTTCTGGACCAGCTGTGGTGTGTAGAGGGTGATCTGTCAGGACTTTTGCATCGTCACTGGTCTAAGTGGAGACGCACTCACGCCTTCTTAAAAAAGGGCTTGTGTTGACCCCGCCCCATTACCTGGTGTGTCGCAGTGGCCCCTGTGATCAGGGTCATCTGACGCACTATGGAGAATGCGAGCCTCATTTCCAGACTTGTCCTCCATTCTCAAGACTCTATTGGTCATAGACTTTTTTGAACTTGCGGGTTCCACATCGAAATCACATTGAAAGCTAATTGGGAAACACTGCGAAGAGCTTCTTCTCGACCAGCCTGCGTTGGTGCAAAGTGGCCAGTTTTCTGCAGGTATGGCTGGTCTATGGAGAGGGATGGATGGCAGCCGCTGTGGGACATCCAGCAGCATGGCGAGATTGCTGCCCCTTTTTGTTACTGGGCCATACTGCATACTCATGCATGGCCCGCGCTGCTGCGTTGGCCCACTGCTGCCAGGGAGTCCGTGGGCGTCTTAGCCCTGGACCTGGTTGACAACCGGCTTCTGATTTTCTACCGTGGAGGCTTCCTGCAGGCGAAGGCGCACCCCATTCATACCGAATGGTAGTGTAGCACACTGTGCATCTGGGTTAGAACTGCAGAATTGGAATGTTGATGGGATTGGTGCGTGTCAAAGAGTAAAGCCTAAACCAATCAGTTGGGAACATCTCGTGCATCTTTGCTACGAGCGTCGAGGGGCAATGCATGGAGGGTAGTTGGGACTTGGAGGCGAAGAGAGTTCCTTGTTCACGGTTCATGTCAGTATTGTATATGGCCCCACACCCCGGGCCAGCAGAGCTTCATCAGGTGGGTGTTTGAGCAGATGCATGTCAAGTAATGTGATCGTGTCATTCCGGTACAGGATCGCTGCATTCGCTTGTCAGGTTTGGAAATCTGACGGAGAGCAGTGTTCGCACATTCAAGCAGATATCGATGACCATCTTCAAAGCTCAGAATCTGGAGGACATTCGGACCGGTGGCAATTGTGGCAGATGGGTCAAAATCTCAGCATTGCGGCACATGTTTCCGAGCATGAATCTGTCCAACGGGTTGCTGTTTGCCGTGGAGCCTGCATCAGGCACTGCCCAGCTCAGACAGAATAATCGGTGGCGGATGTGGAAACAAGGTGCATGAGCAAGTTTGCAATTTCTTGTCGCGCTCAAATCAGTTCTACAAGGCATGTTGCTGTGTGTGTGTGTGTGTGACTTGTGCAGCTTCAACGCATACCTTGCCTAACGGAAGGAGACAGACAGCATGCTACTGCTGGCCAAATCAAACGGAGGCTGATTTGTTTTGCTGTGCTTCCTCGACAGTGCCAGATGTAAGTTCATCGATGCTGAGGCGCGGCTTCTCAGCTGCTAAGAGCTGAGCTACCCTCCATGAAGGCACCGTGCACCCTGACGTTGCTGTCTCTGTCAAGACCTGGACCTGAAACTTTTTCAGGATTGCAGCCACCCTGTGCCATCGCATGTCCGACTCAGGGGCTAGCCCAACCGTAGGTCTCAGGCAGCAGCGAGTCGGTTCAAGAGTGAGCCGCCCATGACAGCATGCAGTACATATTCAGTACTTAATGCTACTTGCAAGTACTTGCAAGTCATCGAAGTCCACGTTGCGACAGAATTGACTTGCTGCCTACCTTCTGTACATGATCTGGATTTTCAATCTTTTTTAGCTTGGTTCGGAGTGAGCCAACACGGCGTCCTCCCGCTGACAATGAAGTCGGCACGCCAGCCCTCTGCGCCAACACGTTGTTGTGCGGAGCCGCTGCCTACAAGCAGAGCTGGCACATTCTTCGACCGTCCGCAAAGTTCGTTCGAAAATGTGGAGACACTGGGGTCGTCAGCTGTTTTGCATCGCAGCAGACTTCCAGCATGTATTCAGACATGTCTGGGAAGTCATGTTAGCCCGGAGCGATTGATATGGTACAGGTTGACGTCTTGAGGTGTGTATGCAAGCACGCATGCATGCTGCAGGGTGGCAACTTGCCCCAGGCGGATATGGCAGCCTGGCTTGGGTTTAGAACTGTTTAGAGATGCCCTGCCATCGCGCTGTCTTGGGTGGGTTTTCCTTTCGTCTGACAAGGCGAGGCGAATACAGGAGTTGGACCTGGAGGTTCTACGACGCTGCGGGGATACTGTCTTCTTATTTGTTCTTCGATGATTTTCGAAGATAAGTTAGAGGCGCAGCTTATTCGGCAGGCGCGCATTGAAGCCTGCCGGTACGTTGACTACTACCTGCTGCTGGAGCCTCACGCTTGATGCGCAACTCTGGATCTTGTCCTGTTGGCAGCAAATTGAAGCTTTTAGTGTGATGAGGCCTGGCCGCTCCAAGATGCAACTGACGCCAATCCGACATGCTTTGTGCAGCGTGCAACAGGGCAGAGTAGGGTGCTCTGCATGGTCAGGAAGGAGCTGCTTGCATCGCTAGTTTGTGAAGTTCCACCGGCCGAGGTGGTCCATTCCGGCCCATGCACGCAGGTGTTTCAGCGTTGTTGGACTGGTGTCTGCGCAGGTTCTTGACTTGGGCCAGCTGGGTCTTTGCCGGTCGGAGATGATCATGGACGGTTTCATGTGTTGGAACAGCATGGAAGTGCTGAACACTCCGTGCGAGTAGCTGTGCCCAAGGCAAACCGCGCTGCAAATTCGGCATTCGTCAGTTAACTGCCTTGATTTCACTCGGTTCTGTTCCTGGTGGACTGGCCTGGTGGACAGGACCGGATCCACTTGGTTGGACTCCGCATCAGGAACTTGCGCTTTGACCTCAGAGTGCATCCGATCCAGATTTACTGCCGTTTGCCTTCGCGATTCCTGGCTCAGTGGATTGTTGTCCTCGTATTCGTGAGACCCCTTAAAGGGGACCTTCTGAACCCTACTTATGGCTCTCCCACAAGGGCCCTTATTGAGAGGGTCTAGATCCCCAAGGGTCCCCCTAATCCTAACTCTTATGTTGGAAGTTGGAAGGGCAGCAGTCTATGCCATATTATGGAAGCCGTTGTGCAATGTCGTTGTGGTTTTGTCCTACTTCACTACTGCATGTCCAGGCACTTCAACTTTTTGTCACTAGTCACTAGTCTTTCTGCAATTTCCCGTCGACAAAGGTCTGGAGAATTCTCACGTGAAGAAGATCGAGGTTCACAGGCGGGGTTGTGCCAGACATCGTCCGAACTCCTGGGAGCACACGTGTGCTGACTGCACGTGCGGATCGTGCGGTTGAGCTACGTAGTTAGAGTCCGTTGCCACGCTGCATGCCTGACTCAATGCTGACTGCCCGCTTTGACTGGCGGCGGTGTTGCCGTGCACTCCTGTCATCTCCACAACCGTCTGCTCTTCAATGTCGCTGTGCTTTTGCTCCTGCTGTTCCGTGGAGGCGGCCTTTCCAAAGGCAACGGTGACAAGGGCAGCTCGGTTTGAGCAGCAAACGGGCCGCACTAACAAATCAGCCCGAACAGACGAAGGAAACGGCAGAAACTATAAAGAACATGATGAGACGACCTGAAACGTGGACATCGCTCAAGTCCGGACATTGTTGAGAAGTATGCTCCAGCTCATTGGTCGGAAATGTGCACCGACGAGAGTCTTAAAGAACTTGCCCCGCGGAAAACTTTGTCCCTCAAACAAGTTGGAACAGCTGCCGCTCTGCGATGAGTGCGCACACACACATATGTATATATGTATGTATATTTGTATGTATATATGTATGTGTATATATACTCGGCGGATTGTTGAGAGGAGCGGGTGTGGCAGGGGAGCCGATGCCAGAGGATATGCAAAAGCAAAAAATAGAAAGGACGAGAGAAGAGAGAGCAGACTAAAAATACATGTAGGAGCCAGCGAAGACACCAAACAGATTGCATCGAATCACGCCGATTCAAGCCAGGCAATAATTAGCAAAAAAAGACGAGCTAAAAAGAAGAGAACGATGTGGAATACAAACAGCGATCACTTTCAGCCTAAAAGCACGAAAACATCGAGCAAGAAACAAGAAGCACGACAGGCGAGAGCTAGCAGGAGCAAATAAGCACAAACACAATCGCAGAAGCAATGTAAATATAGTTGTAAGCGCAAACAGGCTTATAAATAAATAAACAAATAGGTAAATATAGATAACTAACTATCTAACTAAAGAAATAAATATGAATAAATATCCATATATATATATACATGTTTATCGGTAATCATGAGAAAGAAATAAACATAGACGAACACAGATAAACATAGAATGAAATCGATAACAAATACGTATAGATAAATGTATATATATATATATATGCATGCCAAGAAATACATACAAGTTTAATAGATATTACTACATATAAAAAAGATAAACACATATACATAAGTATAACAACATATAAGTAAACATAAATTATTGTAAATAGGTATAAACAAGTATGAAAGTATTAGTCAATATACAGTAAGCAGCAAATCAACAGAAATGAATTAATAGCTATGAATCAATGCAAGTAAACACAGACACCCATGCAAGCAAACACAAGTAAACATAAACAATTAAGTAAACACAAGTATATATGGACAGGTATATATATCTATATCTATATCTANNTATCTATATCTGTATCTGTATCTATATCTAAATTTGTATCTGTATCTGTATCTATATATCTATAAATCTCTAAATTATGGATATGTATATGCACATATGTACAAAGGGCCTTCCGGGGCTTCCCCGATGCCTCCAGCACTCACGCTGCTCACGCTCACATCACTCACGCTCTTCCCACATCTTGCGGAAAGGAACAGCCAACCACACCAAGCAGCACACGCAAGCGAAAGAGAAATCTTTACTCAGAATGTTTGGAGGTGTGACCTGCTGGACTGCGACTTCTCCTTCACAGTTACGGCCGGTGAAGCTTGACCCTTATTGCGGCGGACAGCAATAGCAGCACGTCAGGTCCAGTACCGACGCTTCATGGCAGCAGATGTGCATCCCTGCCTGTGGGACTAGGTGAAAGTGAGCAGCTCAAGATTGGAGAACGTCCAGTTCGGCGTTTTCACGATGATGGCATCCGTCGAGGTGACTACCGGCAACAGTCAAATAAGGTCAACCCGAGATCCTTCCATACGTGGAGGAGTCGCAGCTGGTGCAATGCAATCTTCGGGTCGCTGAAGAGCTCTTTGTTGCAGATTCTGCTGCTTGGATCTGTCTGGCATGGCGAAGTACGCAAGAAAAGGGTTTGAGAAGCCGAGGAGCTGGACAGCTGCACCTTCAAAGGCAGTGACGAAGATAGGAAGGACAGGCAGTTCATCAGCATCCTGGCTTGATTTGCAGCCTCTGAAAGGCAAGCTGCCAGAGAGGAAATTTGGGCTGACGTGTTTACAGCTAAGGTGCCATCTTCAACAACTCGGATTTGCATGGGGCTCCTACCCTACACGGGCTTTTTGAATGTTTTGGCGACGGTGCTTCGGAAGCTATCTTGCGCTCCCGCTTCGCCAATTGGCCGTCTGAGATGGCTTTGAACGAGATTGAATCAGTCTGGACAAAGCTTTACATTGCCAAGTCGTTTTGTGCCACTTTGTGGCAACTCGTTGCGGCCTGTGCTGCGCAGCAAGTCCGAAGCCCGACTTAGCTTCCACCTAGACTCGCACCTAGATCGTAAACCCAACTTAGAAGTGCTCACACAATATCATGTGCTATGCTGCCTCATCATGCTCTCCGATCCTGCGCTGGCGAGCTGCTGTGCCATCGCTTCCACGAGCGGCACACGGCCAGACGCAGCGCCGAGCCTGTTCCGGGTGCGAGTCTTGAAGACCGGACGGACAGGGTGTGGCAAACTCAAACTCAAACTCTGGGGTCAGGTCGACAAGCAGCGCCGTCAGAAGTGCATCCATGGGGTGCTTGACCTGCCTCTTGACCGCTCATGTGCAAGTCCCGATGCCATCAACTCCCACCGGCAAGAATGGCAAGACAGAAAGGATTTTTGTAATGATAGTCTGATAGTCCTTGCAGCTAAGATGTGCTTTTGGTGCGCAGAGATCGAAGAAGACGCACTGGCTGCGGTGCTGGCGATGGTAGCGCCTGGGAAAAGGTCGAGTGGTGCCTTGCCTGAAGTAGATAATCTACTACTGTACTATACTATACTATGCCATACTATACTATACCAGATACTATGCTGGATACCATAATATAATACAATATACGAGAGCATATTGTAATATGCTATCTATAGACTGCCATGTTATACCAGAATGTACTACAGTGTATTATAAAATGTTATCGCATGCTAGAGTTTATATTCGTCTACTATCCCAAAACCTGGAAAATCGAAATAAGACACGGTTGTTCCCAGGGAGTCGCAGCTGATGCTTTGTAAATGAGCTGCGTGTAGATTCAGGGGCACGGAACGAAGCATCCAAATCACAGGATCTGCAAAGCAAAAGGTGCTGATTGATCTTGTCGTCATATCCGCGCAGCCATGTGTTGCTCGCCCGAGGTTGGATCTTGCACAGGGCCCTTGCCCCAGCATCTGTGCGAGATCTGACGCTCAACTGTGAAGGACTTGGCGGGATGCGTGTACTGTGTGAGGTGCTCAGAAGCCAACGCTTCCCGAGCTCACCACGAAACAAATTGATCTTCCGATTATGCCACTGCCAGCAGTGCCGCCCAGATGACACATGAGACGACGTGGTCAGTAAACCCCATGGCCTTTAGTTGAGTTCGTTGGCGAGGCGTGTCTAGGAAAATGCTGTAAAGGTCAAGCCTAGTCGTCGACAAAAAACACGATCAACAAACATCATGATTCTCTCAAAAGCCTCCAGCAGCAGCGAAGATCCGCTTCAGGTATTTGCCAAGTCCAAGCCAGCAGCTGATGATCTCAGAGCAAAGGCAGCGGTTGAGATTGGCGAGTATCGTCCCATGATCCGCTAGTTCGTTGAGTGTTCGTGCTGTAGGTATCTGCAGCTTTATGATGACATTCTTCTGAACGGAAGTCGGATCTTTGTGGTCACGCATCATCACGGGAACCTCCTCGCGAAAGTTGGGTTGATCTTCCACCTCAAGGAACTGAAGGATGTTTCAGCCGACACACACGGACATTTCAAGTACGTGCCCAGGCTGGCCTCAGTTTTTTTTTTTTTTTTTCTGGCACGCTTTGTGCTGTTAAGAAAGCTGACCTCCCTGAATCGCCGGAGCTCAGGTTGCGGAGCACGAAGTCCGCGGCCGCCTGTGTCTCAGCGGGTCGGGCCAGGTCCTGTTTGTTTTTCACACTTCTAAGTGAAGCTTTTGAGCTTCACTGCTGAAGGAGTTCGCATCATGTCCGTGGCCAACCCCGAAGACTGGACGGAGCCGTCCAGATACCTCAGAGCTCAGGCCACCACTGATTCCGGCAAGCTGCATCCCATCTGCTAGAATCTAGAGTTGCTGACGTGCACGGTGTCGCCATCTGGGTTTCCTGCTCCACACTTCGCTTCAGACTTCAGACTTGGCTTTTGTGGGGAAAAGGGGGCCGTGGCTGGGGCGTGATGACATCTTCGCAAGTGCCCCTGGACCTCATCGGCTTCTCAAAGCCGACGCACGATTGCAGAAGCCGTCGTGGATGTCGCGAAAGCTCCTTGGCCGTGTGAGCCGAGCAAGCCAAAATTTGAAAGACAATGAACTATTTCAATGCACGTTGAAAAGCCAGGATGCTGTCGTGCAGTCAATCGTGTTCTGTGACCTTGGAATCTGCCAAAACCGTGTAGAGCCTTGGAGTCTAAGCACTTCCGACCCACGGAACACACCATGCAATTTCTGTGCATCTGACCTAATTGAGTGGTGTGTGTAGCACCTGGAGCAGATCGCATGTCGTGTGCCCAGCGGCATCATTGGAGGTGCAGTTGATGGACCAGGAGCTCGACCAAGATATTGCTCCGCCCCCAAGCGAACAGGAAGCCCCGGCTCTAGCTTGGGTTGCGCTTGGGTGGCTTTGACCTGTCATTTGACGGCAGGATGCCTCGAATGCCCTGGGCCGCATCCGCCATAAGCTGCAGGATGCCTTGGCACTGCAAGGCACGGGTCTGGCAGACCGCAGGAAGAGCCGTGTCGCTGGGGGGCGGGGATATCCGGTCGCGAGGTGAGCTCGAGCAACAGAAGCCTGCAGCAGCCTCGAGCTGAAGCTCCGCTGTCAATGCCCAAGCGGCAGAAGCTAAGGAGGAATTGGGTAGGTTGGCTCGAAGTCTGCGCCTTGCCAGCGTGATCAGGACCTGCATCGCTTTGTCTGACACCTCATAGAGCCAGTCAGCTAGTCGCCTTTCAAGAAACGATTTCTCGCAAAAACAGCAGGAATCCCGGATTCTGGGCGTGCCTCTCAGCGACGGGTTCCCGAGAGAGACTGCGGTGAAGTGCATCAGCGGAAGCCGATTGAAAGTCAGGACATGTGCAGCATGCTGGCCTCTGTTCAATCCTTCAGGCCGGTTTCTTTACCGTCCTCAACATAGCTGAGACAAGCGAAGATCTTGCAACATGTCATTGCGTGAATTGCAGGCTGCAGCTGAATGTCCGCCGCCTGCGAGAGAACGTCAAGCGCCTCACGGCGCAGTGGGCGGAGCAAAATCCCGAGGCATGTGTGTTGCATTTTGTTTCAATAGGTGCAAGTCATCCTGCTGAGCTCTTGAAATGGGCAGGAGTACGAGGCCTTGAAAGTACAACCAGAGGTCCGGCTCTGCTGTTTGGCAGATGGAGGATTGGCCTGGAAACGTGAGTCTGCGAAGGTGCTGCCTGCTCGCATTCGCCGTGAGGGCAAGCAAGTGGGGGAGCTGCTGCGTGAGGGCACTGCTCAGCTGCAGGGTACCTTCCAGTGTGCCAAGCCTAGCACAGCCAGGGCACAGTCCGAACAGGTAGTAGGAGCAGAAGTGATCTGATAGAAGAGGCAGAGCTAGCTTCCGCAAGGCATCCTGCAAGCTCCGGATGCCGAAGAGCGTGCAGATTTGCTGGAAAACGCTGTGGAAGAGGAGCTAACCTGCTTTGAGCTTCAATCTTCGCTCCGGGCTAGGAAGGCCGCCAGCCCGATTAGTGCTTCTGCTTTGCAATCGCGCATCTTTCCTTCGGTTTCGTTCTTCTCCAAATTAGTGGCAACCCAAAGAAGTTAATGAATGTTGCAAAGAAGCATAACACAGACCCCACCAGGCAAGGAGCGTGAGAAACGAAAACCCGTTGGGCACATGGGCACATGGGTGACACTCCGGATGCCGAACAAAACCCCCATCCTGGCCTTGCATTCAACAGAGTAGAGGCGCAGGTCGTAGAATAGAAGCCTCCAGCGCAAATGGCCTGTCAGCACCCACAGAGGTTGTTCGGTTAAGCATTTCTGACGGCTACCCCCCATCTCATCCTGTCAGCGTTGGCGTCGAGGGCTCTTAGGAGTGGATGCATGCACCTCGCTGCTTCTGCGACTAGAACCAGCCCGAATTGCAGCAATCCCTCAGCTAAGGGAGAGGACAGGCAGATGACATAAACAGCTAGCCGGTTTTGCACCTGATGAGGAGTTGAGGCGTATGCGCGCGTTGCGCTCTCTGAAAAACGCCTTGGGGGAGATTCCTGGACATGATGCACCTGCCGAGGTGTAAAAAGCACTGCTTGGACTTTCCCGCGAGTTGTCATGAGATTTTGGCATCTCGAGGTTTCTGAGGCTACGGAGACGTTCTCCAGTCCTCGTGTGCTGAGGACATCACCTTACCGTTTGACCGAGTTGTGTGCGAGCGTACATACTTCCATGGCCGACTCCTCCGAATGACCAAAGGCCGGTGTGGGTGCACAGAGCAGTCTCGTAGCCAATGTTAGCCACGCCGTAGCAGTCGTGCAGGTGGCTCCACGATCAGCCTGAGGCGTGCAAAGCTGCGGACGCTTCCAAGAATAGTGCCAGTCTGAGGCGAAGAACTTCACAGCAAAGGTGTTTTCAGCGCGAGAGTCGTAGAGAGTGCGTTGCTGTCCCATGCAAGGAATGTGAGGGCAAGATCATCCTGTGCTTAGAGGAGCCGGGACGCTGTAGTGTTTCGAGTTCTTGTTTGTCATCCCCTGTGCCCGGCAGAGAGTCCCCATGAAGCAGAAGCACTGGTGACTCGTGCCGAAGAAGACCCAAGCCCCTGAAGATCCTCAAGAAACCCCCGAACTCGGCTTTTCCAATACCCAATCGATCCTTCTGAAGGCTGCAAGTTCAAGGAGAGACAGGGGGAGTTCTCCGCAAGAGTGCCAGGACTGCGACTTGCTGGAGTCATTGACCTTCCACGGGATGCGGTCCTTCTGTCACATTAGTTGGTTAATTCCTTTCGCTGCTGGCTTTTGCTTGCTGTCTCATGAGTGCTTCAGCCCCTCGCTCGCTCAAAAGTGCACCTTTGTGTTTTGGCTGCGCTGCACGGCTGCACGGCTCCAGATCAGATCAGAAGTGACAGTGGAGGGGCTCTCTCGCTGGTTCGCTTTGTGAACCAGGCTGCAGCTGCGCGGTGTCCACTGCGCAAAGCCCTGCGAGTTCCAGGAGGCAGCGTCTGATGCCCGCTCTTTCCTGTGCAAGTGCAGAATTTGTGTGGTCTCATGTCTCATGTGTTCGCAGGTCGAGTTTGCAACAAAAGTTTGCGACATCGTCTTTCCAAGGCCCCTTTAACATTACAAACATTGAAGTTGGAGAGTCCGGTTTCAGAGTGTCAAAGGAGCAGCCGCTTTGTGAATGTCCGCTTCAAGGATGGCCTACAGGCACGCCGCTTGTTCGGATTCTTGCTTGTTGGGTTTCACGCCCTCTTTCTTGATTCATTTTGCGACAGGCATGCGTTGCAAGTGCCTGTCGCTTCGAGTGCGCCGATAGACCTTTGCAGCAGATCCTGAGCAAGTTTCCATTGCCCGCTGTGACTCGTCGAAGTGTGTTCATTCAGGTATTGCAACTTGGGCTACGGTCAAGATGCGGTAGCAGACTGCTTGCTGACGCAGCCGCACACTCAGAGACTTGCCGAGCATGTCTAGGAAGCGAAGAAGCCTTTCTGAAAGATTCTCCAGAGCTTGTCCTGGGATATCCGTGTCGCTTAACTTAGTCAGTGAGGGGCGATTCAGAGTCCGGCTTCTTCCTGAAGTGGTGCATGTGAGATGAGTGAAGAGGTGCCATTTCCAGTCGTGCCACTTCCCTTTCTTGGAAGACTGTTCGCCTGCGCGGTTCTAAGTATGGCAGATGCTCGTCTACCCAAGTTGCATGTCTTGTGCCGGCAGGTCGCAAACTTCGCCGGAAGCCAGTTCATTGCCTGCCGCATCCAGTGGAGTGGACCTTTCGCGCACGAGGACTTTTTGAGTTACGGCAGGCCACAACGAGCACGAAGCAAGCAATTCAGTTGCGCCAGGAAAGTTTCGTGATCAATTCCCACTGGCTTCGCAAATGGAATCTGGCGAGTTGCACTGTTTCTGACGGTGCCGCATAGATAAAGACTTCCTTCATCTTGCCACGTGCAAATTGCGGTGCTCAAAGGGCGCATTTCCACCCACTGGCAAAATTTCACTTGAAGGAGGCTAGCTGCCTTGCGAGGGAAGCATGTTCCAAGCCCCAAAGTTGAAGCATCCCTCTGGAAGCTCAAAGGGCATCCATGCTGCACAGCTTTAACTCTCCATGTTGGCACAAAAACCGAGTTGATCTGTGGCTTCGTCAGGGATGGCCCAAGATTTCATGAACACACTTGTTTAGGCTTGCAAAATGCTTTGCACTTCGGTACGACTGCAACGAGGGCTCGAGGGGCAGACCGCGCGGGCTCAACGCCACGCGCCGCGGCTACCCAAGCTCTGCCCGTTCTTCCAGCAACTTGGCGGCAGAGAGTCCGCGAGTGTGTCCAAGCGCGCAACCCAAAGCTGGGCACGAGCGGCTGAGGCTTTTTTCCAGGTAGAACATGGGAAATGCTTCGCCCAAGCCCCGGATGGAGCTTCAGTAAGAGCAGAGCAGAAGGCGGAGCACCAAGCGTCAAAGCAGGAAGTTGCCCTGCAGGTGCTGCAAATCGGACACCGCCCCAGGAGTGGAGACGACAGTGGATGCGAAGCCCGCTCTGGACCCTGACTCTCACGCAGTTGCTTGTACAATTTTGCCGATCACCCGTGCCCTTTCCAGGACAGTTCTTTGAATGCCCTGCCCACTGTGGCCGGCGGGAAAACCGACAAGGAGAGATTTACCGTTGCCTGCCTGTCGAAACGGTTCGCATTTTTGCTTGCCCAAGGAGAGGCTCTACAGCACCAAGCTTGTGAAGCCGGGGCCCTGCAGATTTGTCGGCTTGCTGGCACCCGCAACATGCAGTCTTGCCGATTTTGCCTGCAGCAGCCGTTCCTGAGCACAGGTCGGGTGGCCTGAAACTTGGGCTGGATGTCGACTACATGGCGGAGCCAGCAGCTCGGAAGTTCCAAGAACCCTCCTGCACAAAGTCTTGATTTTGCTGAGGCGCTCTGTGCTGCCGATCATGTCAGTGACCGGCGGAGTTGCAGAGCACGGATCCTAGCTCCATTCTGCCTGCGACTCGCTTGGAGAAGAGACCGAAATCACAGGAAGTGGAACCAAGACAATCCCGAGATGCAAATCCGAAAAGGGGCCTGGAGCCCAGCTTGGCTTGGCCTTGTTTCTGCACCGGGATGCACTATCGCGCTGCTCAGGATAGCATTGTGGAGGTAAATGGTACGACTGGCAAATGCCTCAGTGAAGAGTCGCCTGTGGAGAGATCATTCGCAAAAGGTCGGGCGCACTGGGGTGCAGGTGACGTCGCCCAAATGCTTGACAAGTGCAAGACGGACATAGAGCTGGAGAGCGGGTCTTGGAGTCCTTTACTCCGTGATGGCAACTGCTTTGCTGTGCAAGTTCACCCAAAAGCCAGCTTACCAGTGTTTGGGCTCAGGCCACAAGGGAATACTGGTAGTTTCACGAGCTATGGCTACGGTCTTTGCCAGGTTCTGGGCCAGCGTGTTTCTGGTGAGTTTGGCGGCCGCTGGCCCAGGTGGCGCTTTGGAAAGATTCCCGCCGCAGGTCCTCCATGCAACATCTTTCGTAGATAATTTCGACTTCACGACCAATGGTACTTTCCAGCAAAGGATCTTGATGTACAGGGACTGGTGGACGACAGGGAAGCCGGTGCTGCTCTTCTTTGGAGGAGAGGGCTCGGTTGAAGGCTTCTACAACGCTACAGGTGCGATTTTCGAACACGCAGAAGCCTTGAGTGCAATGGTGGTTTTTGTTGAGCACCGTTGTTATGGGAAATCCCTTCCTGAAGTTCCTTTGAGTCGTTGCCTGCGACGGCTTACGGTGGAGCAAGCTCTGGCAGATGTTGCCTGGTACATCGTAAAGCTGCGTGAGCAGCTAAACTGTAAAAGGAAGGAGTGCCCGTTTATCACACTTGGGGGCAGCTACGGTGGCATGCTGGTTGCGTGGTTCCAGCAGAAGTACCCTCACCTTAGCGCCGGTGGCATTGCCTCCTCGGCCCCCATCGACTTCTACCCCCATGATGGACGACAAGATGCTTTTTGGTCCGCAACCCTACACACGTTTGAAACTTTTGCAAGCCGGACGTGTGCTAACGAATTGAACAATTCTCTGCAGTTGTTGCGAAGCACATCTGACTCGCCTCAAGGGCGACGGCGCCTCGGAGAACTTCTCGGTTCTTGTGACCCGCTCCTCGAAGAGGTGACTGCTGGCAGCAAGGTGGATTTCTTCGTTCGCGGAGCAGTGAGCACCCTTGCCATGCTTGACTACCCTGTGGCCAGTGACTTTGTAACGACACTGCCGGCAAACCCTGTAAAGGTTGCTTGCCAAAGATTGGCTGGAACTGGGAATCCACTTGAGGGGCTCAAGGCGGTCTTGGACTTGTTCTTGAACGCAACTGGAACCTACCGGTGCTATGATTTCTTGGCAGAGATGGTCGGTCGCCCTACAAACGGAACCCAGCATGGGCCATCTACCCCGCCAGACATGGGGCCATGGCAGTATCAGGCTTGCAACGAACTGCCAATGCAATCCCTCACAACCGATGGTATGGGGTTTTATCCCGCTGCTGATGGGCAGTTGTCGGAAGTGTCGGATTCCTGCAACCTTCGTTATGGCATTCGCCCCAGAACTTCGTGGCTTCAAGTGAACTTCGGAGGCAGTGACCTGCATGTCGGCCATTTGCTCTTCACCAACGGGGAGAAAGATCCCTGGCGAGTTGGTGCGCCGAAGCCAGAGAGGATTGGAGAGGGTTTGGACATCCATCAGCATCTGATCCCTGGTGCGGCTCACCACGAAGACTTGCGCTTTGACGCCGCTCCGCCCCGGCCTTTGGTGTCTCTGGCGAAGCAGAAGGCAAGGGCTCTCATGCAGCGCTGGATCGCCGCCTTTCAGGGGAAACCCACTGCCGAGCAGGTGCTGCTGGCGTAAAGGGCTCTTCTCTAGGAGTTTCGAGGACTAGAGTAAAGCCTCAGCCGTGCGCATGCGGCAAACATGGCTAGGCGATCAACTGCGTCAGACTCCTTGCTGCCCCTGCCATTGCCTGCCATCGGCATTCCGTGCCTGGGTGGCCTTAGGCTGACGCTGTGCCGCTGCCTGAACTACGACCACTTGGCGACTTGCCGAAATTTTGGACCTGAGCACGGAATCTCAGAGCTCTGGCTGGATGTCGCAGGTGGCTGACTTGGAGAAGCTGATCTCGGCCAGGAACTGTGGGCCGATCATGTCCGGAGCTCGGAGAGATTTCGATCTTGAATTCTGCAGGCGCTGGGTGAGTAGTACTTGTTTCCCAGCCCAGGATCCGTCTTTCCTGGCATGATGCTGGCGTCTTCAACGGCGCCAGCCTTTGCTGCCTTGAACCTGTCCAGTGGCACGTGATGCACGCAGTCCGTCCATCTCCTTGTTGTTTATGTGCAGCTGCTCCTCCGCTCTGGGACAGGTGTTGATGGCTGCCCCAACGCGGCAATGCGCTTGGCCGGTTTGAAACCAAGCCTGCTCAGTCGGCTGCTGTTTGAGCCACAGACATGTCTGTTTGAAGGTCTCTCGAAACATGCTGGTGTTTGTTCTTCGGACGCCACGCGAGAGTCGAGACTGTTCCACCAGACCCGGAACCACCTTGTAACTCTCCTGGTCAGCAACCCCCGGTGAAGCCAGTGTTGATTGTCATGTTACTTTGCTTGGATTCACCAGTTCTTTCAGACAGTGAGGCAGCGGCGAACATTCATTAGGGGCGAATGCAGGGCTGCCGGATGCTTACCTGGATTGGGCCATGTGCAGAAGCAGAAGGGATTACGAGCTCTTCGAAGCAGACTAAAAAAGCGCGAGGCCACAAGTGGCACTTGCACTTCTCGGCCCCATCACAGAGAAGTGAACCGAAAAGATAAAACTTCTTGAGTTGATGTGTTGCTGTGGGAAGCAGGGGACCTGCAGTTTGGGAATATCGGAGGTACGTCCCGCGACTCATTTCTCACGCAGATCTCTGGGCCTTAGCCGCCAATGTTTCCATCAAGGCTCGATGCTTGGGCTTTCTGCGTAGTACGAGTGGCCTTGGCTCAGCAGATATCGATCAGGCAATGGGGGGACCTGAGATTCCGACCCGGTTTGGTCGGCTTGACGTGAGAAGCCCGGCCATGACTCAGAGAGCAAGACATGCAAGACCCACTGTTACCCATGCATTTATGGTTGTACTTTCGCACCAGGCACACCACGCGTCCGAGGGGGTCTCATCAGCCGAGGGGCGCCTTCCGGACAGACGCGGAAGCCGTTTCGGATTTGTGTATGTTCTTCTAGCGCAGGCAGCGCGGGTCTGCTAAGATCCTACTCTAAGGACGGACGACGCAGTGGATAAGAATGCTTAAGTTGACGATGCTCAGAATGTTCGTGGGACGGAGGGGGAGTGCTGCGGCTCTCAGGAAAGAAATTTGGCGCTGGAATCGTGTGAATTTCCACGAGTGGGCCCTGGGTTATTCCTTCCATTTGCCCTGTGATCTCAGTCGTCCACTCTTGGGCTCCCACTTTTCGTGCTGCCTCTGGTGCTGTCTCTTCCCAAAAAGCCCTTAGACTTTTCATATACCCCGGATCTGCAGCGACCACAGTTTTCGAAGGAAATGCGAACCGGATGTGCGAGGTTGTCGCAATGATCATCACAGATCGCTAGGATCCATGGGATTTTTACATCCCGATGCTCGAGATTCCCAGGCCACGTGAAGGTTTCGCAACCAGGTAAGCAACATCAAGAGGCAATACGCAACAATCATCATTTCCAGGTCATTTCATTCACTTGTGATCCAAGTCAAAGGTCTTGAGAGGAGTTGACCACCCTCGCCCCCTGCGCTTAGAAGACGCTCGGGCCGCGTCTGACCTCCTGTCTCTGCCTTGCTTGTGAAACGCTTCCCCTTTTCTCGCCACCTAGGTCCGATACATGATTTCTAGGCAAGAAATCGCTGGAGCCAGAGTGAGGGCCTACAAAGCGAGTTTACGGGCCACTGCGACGAAGCCTGCCAAATTTGCTGTGAAGCTGCCTTACGTCCTCCCAAGGGCAAGCCAAAGCTACAGTTGTTTACTTTTCTTTATCCGTGAAGTTGATGCCGGACACGCAGGATGGGGACAAGGATGCCAAGCATATCAGAGAAATATTCGGCCCCAAGGCAGGGCCTCATCCAGCTTGTGTCTTCAGCTTCGAGTTACTTGCGGCTTCAGGGCTTCGAGGACCGTGACATGGTCGCGCTTTCGGGTGCACACACCGTCGGGTCACTCGGCCCTGCACTGGAGGCGATTTATTTTGTTTGGATTAAGGGTTGGGTTGGCCATGTTCCCGCAGATCGGGGGTGCCTCCTGTAGTGCATGGCTTCGACGCCTGCGCCAAGGATGTGTCATGGCGATCGCTCGGGCTTTGAGGGTCCATGGACTGACGTTGCGCTCTCGGCGCAGCAGAGCCAGACGTGTCTTGCTTTCTTTCCCAAACGGCTCAGGACAAGCTTCTGTTCGACAACTCCTATTTCAAGGATGGCTTGCATGTTGACTCTGCTGCTTTTCATCGGCAAGAGTCTCGTTTGGTGGTCTGAGCGGGACACGAAAGGACTTGCTCCAGAAGCAGTGGACGAAGGAGACGAACCGGCATGGAAAACCACAGTACAGGCTTCATCTGTGATAAGATGCTGAACGGAGCTCGGAGCAAGACTTGCGCAATTGCAGTGTGTCGGAGGTCGGGTGAAAACATGATGCTCACAACGGCTGCAGCCCCAGCTTGTGTAGTTGCTGGGAGGTGGCAGAAGCAAGTGTGGGTTTTGCTGCACTCAGGGATGCCTGGCATGACAAAGGGATCCTACTATTTAGGATTTGGTTTCTTTACTCCCGTACTCCCAAGTCAGGACATGGCATTGGTAGAAGATCCGGCCTTCAAGCAGCACGTGCCTTCCCGAGAGTGCTCGATTCGCTGCCATGAGCGATGCTTCTTTCCTGCCTCCACGAGCGGTGGCAAAGGTGGAGCGGTATGCCGCAGACCAGAAAACTTGGTTTGACGACTTCGCAAAGGCTTGTGTCCAGCATGTCAAGATCACCCGGGGCGGGGTTGATACAGAAACTGCAGAATGTAGACTTTGACGTTCACTTGCTTGTGCTTCCTTCTCAAATCTGGTCGAAGAGGCGCCGTGCCCCATTAATGCTTGGGTGCATAGCATGGCACGAAACTCAGACGGAAGGCCTGGGTCCGGCTTCAGGAGTTCAACGGTGGTTGTGGGCTTAGTCAGCCGGCCGATGTCGGCGCGAGCTTGAGTACATGTGCGAGACTTCTATCCTCTGTGGCCGAGCCGCAATGGCTTAGGTGAGTTGCGTGACATACTGTGAAGCTGGATAGCCCGGCAACTTGATAGCACATTGTCTCACCTTTTGGGCTTCGGCTCTTCGCAAGAGGCCGGGCCGACCCTGCTGCGCATGCAGCATCTTCGCATGGCTTGAGTTGTGTGGGTGCCGTGAGTAATGTCACCGGACTTCTCACCAGAAGGGCCATGGCCGCCTGGATTGCTGTGCACCTTTATGTAGACCTCAGAGCCAGGACCACCACCTTCCCAGCAACCCCTAAAACCCCGATCGCGAGTAATGTGCAAGCGCAAAGCAGGAAAATCCTCACACAGTGGGCTTCCGTTAGCCGCCTCAAACCCTGAGGTCCGCAGCAAAACCCAGCGGTCTTCGTTCTGTTGCTTCCTTTGCACCCGAATTTATGCAGGCAGAGTCCAGAAATCACTCACAAACTGAGCACAGCCTGAAAGGGAAAATCTAGATGCTTGAACACCTGCTGCGAGATTGAACATGGTTCTCATTCTTGTGGTTGCTTCAGTTACCGTCAGAGACATTGCATGCTGGAGGAGCGTGGTGCCCTCGGTTTCGCTTCCATATCGGCTTCAAGCCCACAGCTTTTGCTTTTCTTGCGTCCCGGGTGTGACCTTTGCACGCTTGCCTGGCCTGTTTGTGCTTTGTCAGCGGTGTGGTTCACGTTGCCGGATCCCTGAAAACGGAAGGCACCCTCTGTTCCAGACTCGCCAATGGGGAACACACAGCCGCAGCCTTTCGAAGACATCCGGACATGGAAGATGTCGCACCTGTGAGTCATAGACAAGGTTGCTCGTTGCCGATTGTCGTTCCTGTATCTGCAGGTGCTGCCAGTCTTCGGACACTAGCCCCGATGCCGCGGCCGAAGCCATGCCAGCCATGGAGCGCAGCTGTGCGCAGATGACATATTTGCGTGTTGTGTACGTTCATGCAAATCGTGCCCATGCGACTTGTGCATATGCATCGTTGGGCGGGGGGGCCATTTTAATGCAATTGAGTCAATTGAGACTATGGGAGGAATCTTGGCCAGCCAACCCTGGCAAGTCGGCGCTGGCAAGCCTCCTACTTTCGCAGCAAGCAGCAATTTCGATTTCGTGCTTTTGATGTACATGGCTTGAGTCGGAATCCGTGATCAGGATGTGCCAACTGTTTCCGGTGGCAACACAGCACAGGCTGGCTAGTTGCATTTGTTGTGGAGCTTCTTCTTCGTGGTTGTATAAACGATCTAAGTCTAAGCCATCAACAACTTTCCGTCGAGCCAGCCAAGCTGGAGCCATCGATTCACCGTCAATGCCTGTCCAGCCCCTTGCGCTAGTCATGAGATTCGCTCAATGCGGTTTCCAGAAGTAGGATGCAGACATTTCGCACAGGAGCGTACGTACAAAGTGCGACTGGTGAAGACTTGGCCTCAGACTCCGCACTCCGTACCCATGGGTGTGGTGGCCGACACAAAGACATGACTGGGATGCATGAGGAAATTGTAGGCGTGTCCTAAAGCTACCTAGTCCTAGTAGCAAGACTGGTGGTGTCGTCGCGTCAAGGAAAGAAGGCCAGAAGTTGGGTCTTGACGTGGACTACATGGCCGAGCCATGGACTCAACTTGAGGGGGGACTCTGCTGCTGCACAGGCCAGTGCATCACCCCGAAACCAGGCGCAGCGTGCTCCCAATCCTGGTCATCTCCGGAGGCATTGCTGAGCGGGAAGCCTATCACCTGCCAGTGACACGAGCATGTCGAAGAAACAACGGGTGATAAGGATGTGGAACAAACAACACCCAGACAAGAAGATGAACACTGGCGCCCGTGTCCAAGCATTGCTGGAGAGTCTGCACATGCATGAATCAAGACTGAAGCCATAAGGACAGCATCACCGAAGTTAATGGCATCAAAGGCAGGACTCTGCCGCTGTTCGGCCGAGACTTCTGAAGATGTGTGCTCAGGAAATGTCGCCCTGATGCTGGAGAAATGCAAAGCAGACCAAACTTTGGAGTCCGGTCCAAAGACTTCGCTGAGGAGTCTTCAAGAGCTCACCAGTTGACTTTGCTGCCAGGTTGACAGTTGTTAAGTGCCTGACGTACGGACATTTGGTCCGAAGCCGAGCTTGCAAAGGGCTTTGCGAGGAGCGGCAGAGATGTGTCAAGTGATGAAAGTGCATCGTATTGTCGTCATTCCCGTCGGCAAGCCGACATACGTCACAGCGCGACCTGAACGCGGTACGACGTGTTTTCAGTGACCGTTTGGCCCCATTGGCTTTCAGCAATTTTCCCAGCCATATTACATGTTGACATTGGATTTCACAATCACGTCCATAAGAAAACTTTGCGTATGGATTGGTCAGCATTTTCACTGCCGTGGGGCACCATTGGCACCCCGTGGGCGACGCCAAGAACTACGGACACGCTGAATAACCGAAGACCAGGTCAGCCTGTTTTGCGAGGCCTCTAACAGGTTAGATTGGTCAGCATTGCAAAACCATATTCTCCGACACACGTTCTCTGGTCATATGTCCTCGAAACAGAATCATGATGCAATTGTGGATGTGAGCCATTTCTGGGATTGTGCTTGTTCTGCCGTGGCGGCTGCACTCTTGCAATGCGTACCCGTCGAGAGCACGAGAGCCAACAAATCATGGATCAGTTCACGCACCCTGGACCTCTTGAACCCAAGGCGTGAAGCTCGAGTAAATGGCAACTATAAGGTTGAGAAGCAATTGCAGAAGGAGGTCAAGAAATCAGCCAAAAAGGATCGCTCCAAATGACTCGAGGATTTGGCATCTTCCGGGGATTGGAAATCGTTTGAAAAAAGCTCCGCAGGGATCGGATCACCAAGCAGGCGCGATTGAAAAACAAGGATGGGGAGTTTGTCTCATATGAGCTGCGGGGAGACACTGGCTAAGCACCTGGAAGAAAGTTCAATGGAGAATTCGACCAACGGCGTTGATTCCTGAACAGCAGCCGCATTCGGGTGAAGTTGTCTACGTTCCCGTGGAGGTTTTCAAGGTTTTGGCCATGGAACCCAACTCATCCTTTCAATGGCTGTTGGATCTTTGCAACCATTGCTGGCGAGCTGCCGCCGTTCCCGATGAATGGTCCACAGCTACCTAGCCGATCCGAACAACTACCGACCAATATCTGTCTCAGATCGCAGATGCAGGGCTGTTGTGTGGCATAGAGCTTCGCTGGGATAAGATTCAATTGCTAGCAATCTTTGGGACTCCAACGGACGAGCATACTTCGCCAAAACTGGGCATCGACTATTTGGAATCTGTTCTCAGTCCTGATGGGCAACCAGGGCATGAACTTGGTCGGAGGATCGGATGGCAAAGCGGGGGTTTTCCTTGAGCTCCGAAAGGTTTGGAGGCATTCTTCATTATCGCGGGACTGCAAGGTTCAAATCTGTAAAGATCTTATTGAATCGAAACTGATGTGTTTTCCTGAGCTTCTTGTGTTTATGTTCTGCGGATCGTCGACGTCTTGCTGGTTTGAAAAACCGTTGCTTGCGAAGTGTTTTTCGGCATCCCACCTGCTGTCATCACAGGAGTGCCCGAGGCGAAAGTTCTGCGCAGAGCTTGTTACTCCGCTGCTACAGACATGCTCTCGGAACGACAACTCGTCTTTTTCGATCACCCTTGCACAGCTCCGCATTTATTCTTGGAACGCTGCAGCCTGCCACAAGTATGTATGTGAGAAGAGCGGGGGGGTGGGGGGTGGCCGCGACGAGAATGGGTCACGTTTGTTAGGGACAAAGCATGTCAATTTCTTGAAAGCCACCATGAGAAAACCAGACTGTACAGAATCCTCATGTCTGGAATCGTGCCAGTTTACCTGTCCACGCGCCGCCCGGCGGTTGACCGACTGACTGAAGCCGTACTGGAGCCTACCGTACTCTTTGCCTCCGATGATCGGGCGATTCGACACTCCCTTTTCCCATTCAGCTTGGCTTGGGCTTTGCCTTGCTTTGCAATCATTATCAAGTTGCCTTGAGCAGAAACGACCTGTCGGCGGCATGGCCTGCGTGAAGGTTGCGGACTTGGAGAAGCTGATGCTGGTGAAGGGGTGTGGCCCCATCATGCCGGGAGCCTACGGCCCTACGTAGGCCTAGCTGACCGCCCCTCAATCACATGCTAGCAAACCTTCTTCAGCCAAGGGTCCGACTCTCCTGGCACGACGCTGGCGTATTTAACGGTGCCGCCTCTGCGTGTTCTTTCAAGCAGTTTGCAAGAGTTCAAGCTAAGCTGCGACTCTGTGAGTCCGACTTCTTATCTGCAGGAAAGTGGGGTGTAGTCTCAGCCCCTGAGGTGCTGACGGCTGCCCAAACGCTGCAATGCGTCTTGCCGGCTTCTCCCCCAGTTGGAGCGTTCTGCTTTCGAAGAGCCGCCAAAGAGTGTTGCTGAGGTGGGGGTGAGCATGCCTTCGGGGCGAATGCAGGGCTGCCGAGCGCTTACGAGTTTTGGCACGGGCAGTTCTTCCATGGTCCGGCAAGCAACTGAGGCCGCAAGTGGCGATTCCTCTCTTGCAGGCCATCAGTGACAAGTGAGCCGACTCGTTCAGGCTGCTTCGCGCTTGACCCAGCCGCCCAACGCAGACGTTGGCGTCTAGGTACGTGCCAAGACTCATCTCTCATTCGGACCTCTGGGCACTTGCGGCCAACGTGGCCATCAAGGCATCCGCCTGGAAGCATTTGAAGCAAATGGTGCTAACGGGTGCATAGCTCGTCTTTGGAGGTGATGGGAGGACCTGACATCGTGACGCACTTCGGCCGTGTGGATGCCGGGAGCCCTTGGCTATCCCTTGGCTCGAAGGTGTTCACGCAAGCGGGAGATGACAGCCACTTGCGGTGAAGGCCCAGTCGCCCTCCGAGGGAGCTCCTTCCGCAGCGGGGCGACTTCCGGACCGTGGTCGCCACTCAAGACAAGTCCCCCAAATAAAGCAGTCTCACATTCAAACTTCGCATGGGAGGATGGCGACAAAGAGGCTCAACATCTTCGCGACATCTTCCGGCCCAAGGCCGCCGAAGTCCCGAAGCCTCCATGAGCCCAGATTGCAGATGCAAGACTCCGGCAGGGCTTCACTGACAAGGATATTGTCGCCCTGTCCGGTGCGCACACAGTTGGGTTTGGCTCTGAGTTTGGTTTGTTGAAGGAAGTTGCGCATAGGCATAGGATGGCATAGGACAACCGCAGTTTTCCGCTCTAAATTGCCATAGTTCCAGAGGTTTAGCTCCACAAACAACCATTTGCTCTGATAGACCCTGCATCGTAGGTTCGTCCTAGCCAGGCGGGAGGGAAAAAAACAACGGTTGTTTGTGGGCAGCACTCCAGTGTCTTCCAAATTGAGGGTCGACATGTTTCGGCAGGCAAGTACTGCATCTGTGCGGGAATTGAGCATGGCAGAGGCATTTTTCTTAGAAGAATTCCGACGAAAGGCAGGCCACGTACAAGAACCGAGGATGGCGATGCAACAACAAAGAGCAGGCATGAGCATGATTGCAGAACACCACGACAAAGAGACGGAAAGGTTGCGAGAATCGGGAGAGGCGGGAATTTGGATGTGTCAATGTTTCGCTGGTCTCTCTCAGTGCCAAGCCAGAGGGCGTGCTACCTGCCTCAGTTGGCAAAACTGTTGGACGCTTTCGCTTAGCCTACTCAGGGCTTGCCATGCGGATCGATCTGGCTTTGAAGGACCATGGACAGCAGTCGGGAGCTGAGAGAAAGACTCTTTTTCCATCTGCTCTCGTATGCCTGGGTTGGCGATGCTGGAAGAAGAACGGGTGAGCATACACCCGTGTCGAACGTTGCTGGTGCCAAAATGTGCCACAGCCTAGGATAAGCTCAAGTTCGACAACACCTACTTCCAGGCTCGAGTCGGAGGCTCTCGAGGAAACAGGCGCCATGTTGAACTGCCGTACAGGACCTGCTGAACAAGACCTGGAGCATGGAGACGGTCAAGTCGGGGAACAAGCAATACAGGAGCGCCAGGGCCGGCCAGGGTGCAAGGAAGAAGGTCCAAGCCTGGTCCTGTTTCTCACGCATGGCAGGTCTGGCAAGGAGATGATGCTAACAACTGCAGGGATCCCAGTCCTCCGATCGGGGCTGTGGCGAGTTCTTCGGAGCGGCTCAGGACATGGCTCTCGTTGAAGACCCCAAGTTCAAGGAGTTCGCGCGCACCCTATCTCGGACCAGGGAAGATATGCCCCGCTCGAACGACACACCATCGCTGAGGTGGTCAACTATGCCTCGAACCAGGGTGCTTTCTTTGATGATTTCAAGGAGGCCACGCCTCATGATGCATGCTGTGTCACTTGGTGTCCACGTTGGCGTCAGCGAGCTTGCATTTTCCTGCTGAGTTGCCAGTCACATCTGCACAGGCATGGGTGAAACTGCAGGAGCTCGGATGTGGTCCGCGACTCGTGTGGAAATCGTGTTTCACTCGACAGATGCTGGGCACGGAATGGAAATCGTCCCTTGCAGCAGGCCAGCTGCGAGACATCCTCTGAGCAAGGCTGCCGCCTGGTTTTTGGGCAATCTGCCTTTTGCAGGTTGGCCCTCGCCTGACCGCCGAACCGTGCACGTGGCTTGCCATAAACGACCATCCAGTGTAGGACTGTCGCGGTATTCTGGCAGAGCATATGAACAGCAGGAGACATGCGCAGTGGTGCCACAAACACGTGCATGGCCAGCCTTTCACAGGAAAGGCCAGGGCTGCATGTGAGCCAGAGCTTTCCTGACTGAGCACACGAATCGAACGGCATCGCATGTAGTTGAAAGGTTAGTGGTCCGAACGAGTTGCAAGCCTCAAAGCATCTTAGGCTTCAGTGTCAAATATTGCAAACACATGTCCTCTTCAAGAAATTAGGAACGGCCCAGAAAGTGCCGAGTCAAGACGGCTTTGCTTGCATTGACAGCAGGCAACCAAGCTCTGTGCCCCAGGGCATAGCTCTGCGAGCTTCGGCTCTGCGGTCTTCGGCTTGCGAATCCTGCACGTCGTTTTCCGGCAGGTTGAAGTTGCGGACATGCGGGCAAAGTATTCGCTATTCGTCGGCAGTCGCCATAAATATGTAGAGGTTATGTGCGTATGTATGTATGTATGTATGTATGTATGTATGTATGTATGTATATGTTGCTCTTCAGATGACATGCATTCGGGACTCATGCTTCTCGTCCGCCAGTGAAGGAGACCTGAAAGGCTTGCCTTCCAAAACTTTTTCATGGTGCATTGCAAGCAGGAAGCATGTGCTCATGCACGTGTTTCTGGAAAGCTTCGACGTGGGACCCGTAAAGGATCCTTATTTGCGGTGCAGACAGTCAAAGCAACCCTCACACGAACAACTAAAAAAGCCTAGCCTAGCCTTTCCTCCAGCTTCGTCACTTTATCTCTCTATGTGGAGCATCGCGCATGCCAGAAAAGCTCTCTCGCCTCGTCTTTGGCGAGAGGCTGTTCTTCGCACTGTGTTGACACCTCATGTGCAGTCTGCGGAAAGAGGAGAGCGCTTGCCGAATGTCGAGCATCCCGGTTAATTAGATCCCACGACATCAGGCAAGGGTTGAAGACGGGAAAGATGGAAGTCTTAGCCGTAGGCCAGGGGTGCACAAGTGCTCATCGCCTGCTGTCATGGGCCGAATGCCTTCTGGTGGTATCATCGCATGATAACGCACCACGAACAGCCACGGTGAACTTTGGTGTGACTTGCGGGCCGGGTTCAAAGCGGGTTCGCGGGCAGAGCCGCTGCCTGCGCCGCAGGAGGCTGGTCCGATCATAGTAGAAGCAGCAATTTCTCTCTCGCACACCCCCGAGTACACGTGTGCACCACATGCACTTGCCCATTTTGCTTCGGAAGGCTCCGTTTTCAAAGACCCAGATAATGGGCAACACTGCGTCCCCCCCTCTGCCGGATGCATGTTATACAAGCTCAGTTCAACAGATGCTGCCTTTTTTGGTGCCGCGGGCGCCTAGCACCCAGCAGACTGCTGCTAAGGTGCTGCCAGTCCGAAGCCAATGATGGTGTCGGGGATGCGCACGTGGATGCCAAACCCATTCTGGACCGCCTCTAAGTTTTCAAGTTTTGCGAAATTCTCTACCCTGCCAGACAGACTCGTCCAGCAATGCGGTTTCGCAATTGCAGGAAAGTGCGCTGCCAGCAGCACCTTTCATCTCCGGCGGTGATTCAGAACAGGCATGACAAGTTGCTTCGAACTCTCTCTGCAGCAGAATGACCCATGCCAATGTTGGACATGACGAGACGAAACGGAGCACTCGCAGAGTCGCAGGAACGGATCTATCAGGTGACCCTTTCAAAGACTGGCACTTACGATGCCTGCTCGAGTACGTCAGGGACTTGAATTGCCAGCTCCGAGGTCACCGGGACAGAAGCTAGGTCTGGATGTCGACTACATGGCAGAGCAGCGCCCCGAGAAGCGTTCAACGGAAGTCCTGTGGAAACCCTTGGACTGCATTGGATCGGAGCATCGGCACGGCTACAGGCGGAAGATTCTGCCCATCATGCACGTCACTGGCGGCATTGCCGAGTGACACCCCTGGTTCTGTAGGATCGATCACAACTCATCGCAGTCAGTGAGGAGTCTAGGTCATACATGAGCAGTGCCATGTAGCAGAACATGTCAATTCACGAAACAGACATATGGCCGACCCACCAAAGGGAATGGAACAAGAAGTACCCGGACAGGAAGCTGAACAGTGGTGCTGCTTGGCCTTTGTGGTATCTAGAATAACGAGCTGAGATGAACCTGCGATCCTCAGCCTGCCGGGGACCTGCGGGAGCTGAGGATAGCATTTTGGAAGTGAACGGCATCTCAGGCGGGGCTCTAAAGTGAGACTACACAAACCTTAGTGCTTCATGGTTTTACAATCAGGGGATGTCGTGGAGATGCTCGAGAGATGCAAAGCTGACGACACGCTCAAGCCCTGTCCTCGTTTTGGAAGCAGGGTTTTCAAGTTCTGACTGCTTGAAGTGATCCTGGCCCCGATGATGCAAAACTCGACTCTCCGACATCCTAGGATGAAGCTGTGCCGATGCCTAACTTACGAGCACCTGGTCGCGATCTCAAATCCGGTAGTCGGTTTGGCTTGAACCTACTTCCTTTTCGCTTGCTCAGGTAGAGGATTTGGAGAAACTCGTCCGGAGAAAAGAATGCGGTCCAATAATGCCCGGCTCTCTGCATCCAGCTGGGGAAACCTTTCGAACGATTTCAGAAGCCACAGTTGATAATGTTTGAATGTAGGGTTGGAGGAGTCGTTGACCAGGGATGGCTCTTTGATCAGTGGTTCCAGTGTCGGCTGTCTGCATCTGGTCTCTCGAACGCACGAGGTCCAATCTACGGGTTTGATGAACTCGCTTTCGACCTGTGAGACCTCGGTTGACTAAGGGTGCGGCTTTCTTGGCACGATGCTGGCATCTACAACGGTGCCGCCCAATGCTTTGCCCGGAGAGTAGCTTTGATGTGTTGCACTAGGTGACAGCTGTGAACGTAGAATGTAGGCTTCGTGCGGTTGGAAACCTGGACCTTGTCAATTTGCAGAGTATGAGAAGCGGCACCGTTCCCTTGTGCGGCCTTGTAATGACTCAAGACGTTGCGGACGCTGCTTCTACTTGCCGCCTGTGGCTGCAGCTGTCATCCTGGAAGCAACAACACTTTCTGCGAGAACAGAGCCAGAAACCTGCATGCAGAGATCCAGTGGGGCATTTCAATCCCATTTCTTGATTTTCTTTCTTGGAGCGTGAACTCTGAAGCGTGCTGTGTTGTGCAGGTGCTGATGGCTGCCCGAATGCCGCGATGCGCCTGCCTGGTGGTTGGCTAAATGCTGCTTCGTGTTCCAGCATGTCAGAGCTTCGTGTACGAGTGTTTTGCTTTGTCAAGGAGGAGGCGAGCATGCGCTTGCAGCGAATGCTGGATTGCTTGAGCCCCAGTTCAAAGCAGCAGGCAGCAAGACATCACCGGCTGAGCTTCCTTGAGCTGCATGAGCGGTTGTTGGCGTTAAAAGAAATTCGCGGATGGATTCTGCAGCTGTCTGCAGCTTCTCCTTGCAATGAGTGCTCTGTGAAGTGCAAACGTGGAGGCCGCAGGTCGCGATTCCATTGCTAGAACCTATCGCAGCCAAGTGCGCCCTCCGCGCCCCCTATCTTCTGTGGAGAGAGGAGCCCAGAAGGCTGCTACTCCAATCTTGCGGCCGCGAGTAGGTCTTCGCTCGCAGTACCTGCCTGAGGTACGTGCCGCGAATGATCTCGCATGCAGATCTGTGGGCACTGGCTGCCAATGTGGCAATCAAGGCCGTACATGTTCGTGATAGGATAACAAGAAGACGGACTCTAAAAAGCAATTGCTTACGTCAGCCTTTGAAGTTTTGAACAGGTGATGGGAGGTCCAGAAATCACCACTCGCTTTGGACGTTTAGATGCGGGGGGCTTCACAATCCCAAACATGGTGGCTGTAGCACTTGGCGACTCGGTCGCACGGCAGACATCACACTATCTGAGGCCGAACGTGTCGGCGATGGTGCATCCTCAGCGACGGGACGGCTTCCGGACCGCCGGGAGAAAGCAAACGTGAATCAAATCCGGCCCTCTCACAGATGCAAGTTCAATTTGTAGACTGTACTATGTTGTAGTCAATAAGAGTCTGTTGAGGCAGATCACCGAACGCAGGCAGTGATGCGACGCGTGTTGTGGCTTGTCAGGACGGTGACAAGGATGCGAGACATCTACGAGATATTTTCTACCCCAAGGCTGGCGGCCAGCTCCGCGCCCCCGCTCGTCGCTGCACCCTGCTTTACAGTGCTGATAATCCTCGTCCATCCTTTCAATATCTGCCTTCCAGGGATTCGATGACAAAGCGATCGTCGCTCTCTCTGGGGCTCACACTGTCGGGTCAGCTGCGCAGACCGTTCACAGCATTGGGCACATCCTGTTGCATCGTGCTTAGCCTCAACTGCATAAGCGCACCGTGCAAGGAGCTGTCATTTGGACCGCTCTGGTTTCGATGGAGCTTGGACAGCAGCCTCGGTCTCGGCACGCACTATGTAGACATATGATCACTGACCTCAGAGCCCTGCGCCCGCCAAGCCTAGAACCCCACATCACCTCCAGTGCTTGCACGCAATTGCACACTTCGGCCCCTGAGGACAAGCTCAAGTTCGACAACTCATATTTCAAGGTCCTGCGCATTAAGCTCAACCTTGTCTTGGGCATTTTTAAAGGTTGTTCGAAGCAGTCGTTCCGAGTGCATTGGTAGCTTTGCAGGACTTGATGCACAGAAGTTGGTCGTCCGAGACCACAAGCAAGGGGAACCCACAGTTCAGGCAAGGGGGACTGCATGCAGTGCCGAAGTTGTTACGGTAGGTCAAGGCGTGTCAAGCAGTTTCAACTGTCCGATTGTGTTTCCGGCAGGTGTGCAGAGTCCAAGACGATGATGCTGACCACGGTAATGGCCTCAGTCATGTTATGAGAGCTTCCAGGACTTACCAGAACCTACCTTTACTCCATTGCAAGAAAGCAGCTCTAGCTTCGATCATGCCTTCGCCGCGTGGATGATCACCGCCAGCCATGTCCTATCGGATTCAAACCTTATGTCATCTTTCAGAACTGCACGTTCGCCTATGTATGAATGCTCTTTGTTTGGAACCTGAGATGGCAGGTGTACGAGTATGTGCATTGGTGCCCTTCGTGCGTGGACCGGTTCATTGGTGCCTTTCTCCATTGGCATGTGTTAAGGACATGGCACTTGTCAACGACCCTGACTTCAAAAGGTATGTCGGACACTGACGTCAGTGGCCGCGTGTGTGACCACTGTCAGAAAGGAATTGCTTCGCTGATGCCGGCTGCGAAGCAAAGGTCATTCAGTTCGCCGATGACCAGAAGTCTTGGTTTTCGGAGTTCGACAAGGTGCCACCCCAACATGAGAGGGAGCCTTTCATGCAGTGCATCGCATGCTGAAACAAGACTTGAACTTGCCTGCACTGGCTCCTCCAAAATAAGTTCCGGTTTCCATGCCAGGCTTGGGTACGTTTGCAAGAGCTCGGCTGCAGTGCAAAGCTCAGTGAATGAAACCGGTCATCCTCATCTGAAGCAGACTAAACGGAGTTAGCTTCACCCGCATGATTCGTTTGCCGATTTTCTGCTCCAAGGCGAGTTGCGAGATGTCCTCTGAGAGTCAGCCGGAAACATATGCTTTAATGCCTTTTGAGCATTGATGAAGGTCATCCACAGTATCCAATATTGCCTTTTGAGCATTGATGAAGGTCATCCACAGTATCCAAGCATGCAAAGAAAGCTTTCTGCTGCAATGCGTACGTTGTGGTGTAGCGGGCAGAGCCACCTGAAGCGATCACTTCCCTTTTTTGCACTACTCGGCGCAACCGTCTCTGAAAGAGAGAGGGAGCTTGTGCACACAATGTAGCGCATTTTACTCTGTGAACCATCGGAGCCTTGCGCAACAGCCGCAGAAGTTTCGTAGTCGAGTTTCACCCCAGATGCCCTTTGAGACCCATGGTCTAGTTCATGGTGTCATGTATTTAAACAATGTATTTAGCTACTACTTAGGTGCCTGTGAAGCGATGGCATCTGTTTCTAAGTGTATGGCTTACCTGCTTAAGTCCGCCCGACGTGAATCATTGTCTGTTTGGGCAGGTGGCGTGGCTCAGGTGATTGGGCGACAAAGCATAGCAGGCGGCAACCCAGGTTGATCAAATTGCTCACAATCAAAGGTTACGGTATGCCTTCTCAGGCGACGCCTGTCCGAATTCAGGTGGTTTCTGACAAAGCCGCGAAACCCACTGGTCCTATCAGGACCCGAGCAACCAGCAAAAGTTTCCGATGGTGCAACAGCTCTGATGTAGAGTGCCATGGACGAGTTGCGTTGCAATCATGTGCTACTTGCCTGCTTCGTCGCAGCTGTGGCAATGCGTTATTGCGGGATGTTTGCAATCGGGAGCAGCTTTTCCGGCATCAGTGCTGGCAGCCGGCATTCCAAGCATGCGCCAGCCAGCGTCGATATCTGTTTGTATGGGCCAGACTTGACTAGATCCAGCATGCTTCAGTCCCACAGCCTTCGTGAAGTTGGTCAAATTACGGCTGAGAACAACCACTTCGACAGGTGGCAGGGAAGGAGCAGGGATACAAGAACATAGCCATGCAACATGGTACTTCGCCTCTGGGTGCTGGCTGGCAGAGGATGTGCGTTCCCAAGATGCTCCATCAGCAGCCAGGGTGTTGGCTCCAGGGTGTTCGCTGCTCAAGGGCATCTTCCTCGCTTTACGCGAGACAACTTCATCTCTCTAAGAAGCATCATCTGCAAGTGAGGCAGCGCATCAGTCTTTGCTCCGAGCTTGTGCAGACCGTCCCGACTTGCACATGCGCACGCACGCAGTCCCCCGCCTCGACACACACACACACACAGACAGAAGGACAGACAGACAGTCAGCCAGCCAGCCAGACATACTGACCGACGGACGGGCGGACCGACGGACGGACAGACAGACAGACACACATACAGACGCACACACACAGACACAGACACACGCACGCACTCATGCATGCATGCACACACGCACGCACGCACGCACGCCCGCCCGCCCGCCCGCCCGCACGCACGCACGCACGCACGCACGCACGCAGGCATGCATGCATGCACGCACGAACGGCGTCGCCAACGTTCCTGAAACTGCTTCGGCGAGGCCTTCTCAATTCTGCGTGCCACGCAGGAGGCCAGATGCTGCCTTGAAGCGGGCAAGTCGGCAATCTTCTGGGCGAAAGAAGCGTAAATCACGGAGCAAGGCCGCAATGAATTCTTGAAGCCGACGTTTCAAGAAGGAATCCATCTTACCCGTAAGCGGCTCTCCGTCCCGGTTGCTGAGTTTGAGTATGAGAGGACATGAGAGGGTTTTCTTAGATGTTGTGGGTCAGCAAGTGGGAAGCCATGGCACTGTGGTGTGTTTCAAGTTTTCTTATCCAAGGATAGCAGTTCAGAAGGGTCTGCTTCGAGAGACATTATAGTTCATGCTGGAAACTTCTAAATCATTCCGATTTATTCGTTTTGATTCCGCTATCTGCGCAGAAGATCACATATCATTCTTCAATTCATCGGGCCCGCTGTGTCGTACACTTGTTGTTTTGCCGTAAGGCTTGACAGGCTGTGGGATGCACTGCATGGTCTTTACTTACAGTGTGCCGCAAGTTTGCAGCACAGCAACATGCGTGCAACGTGGTGACATGATGAACTTGTCTCTTGGAAGATGATGGTTTCAGCATCGTGTTTCAGGAGAAGTTTTTGTAATGTTTCTAAAAGCCCGGAACCCCCTGAAGAGATAACTTTCGAAGGCACCTTGACATGACCCTTTGCACGGCTTGCGTGCTAGCTCCTTGCTTTAGTTTCCAATAATCGCGAAGCAGCGACACGTAAAAAACATAGTGTTTTTTCTGCGGGAGCACGATTGATGGATTCCTGCTGGCTTGGGCTAGACGGCTAGACTTCCTGCCCCATAAAGAAGTAAACAGATGAGATGGTAAGGGGACAGGGGCAGACGCGGGTCTGAAAGAGGTTACAGGCCAAGCGCTGTCAAGGCGCTTATTTTTGTAGCCTTCCTGGTGAAGCTCTCGGCAGGGGGCATGATCAATATAAGAATTATCGACCTATCCGCATAAACTGCTCTCTACGGATGGTCAGGTGCTTGAGCACTTTCACCTTCTTCGCTCTGGGCAGCGTTGGCGCTGCGCTGCACATGTTCCGAGCGAGGAAGCATGGAGTAAATCGAGACAGGCTTGGCCGATCTTGCCCAGCAGGACCAGCGTCCCGGCTGTTCAACCAGCGCTCTCGTGCTCTGCTCAGCATCACCCCGCTTTGAACATCATCCATGCAACTCCTGAGCGGTTGCCGGTTGCTTACCGGGGGGGACACAACGCACTGTGCAGGACACTGCGCCGAACAGCCATCTTAAATGTAGCTGGTTTGGCAGCCGCGGCCTCAGTTTCCGCAAACTCTGCGTGAGTTCTAGGATTCTAGGACAGAAGGACATCAGTGGCGGATAGTGTCGGGGCATGTCCTGCACATCACTTCTCAGGCAGGGCCGATCCTTCCTGCCAGCTGCCCATGGAGCGGGTGCTATGCACAGCGGAGCACCTGAAATCTGAGGCCTCGGCTCTCGTCGGTTCCACACTGTGTCAGTCTTAGGCAGACGAAACTGCAAAAGCACTGTGCATGTCCACACACACCGAGATCACCAGAGATCGAGGAGGCAGCGCCCGATTTCCTTCTGGCCAATTGTTGGGTGATGCTTACCGGTCGCTGAGGGATGTGTCCTTGGCGACAGGCATTATGTGCTATGCACACGCTATTGTGGTGAGTTTCTGGTCGCCGTAACGGCTCAGCCATCCGAATTAGTTTACCAAACCCGGAGCTCAGATGAACCTAAGATTGAGGAGCCACCTCAGATTTAGTGGAGACCTTGTTCAACGATTCATAGTGCGCATGTTCCACATGTTCAGTCTGTCCACCAGCATACCTTGGTAGTTCGGGATGGTAGTTTCGATGGGATTCATGCCATGCAACCCTTCTTTCATACATGGTAGAAAATGGCGAAGCCCAGCGCTACCTTTTGCATGGCTCTGTTAATGTTCAGCAACGCCTTCTGCTGAAGCACACCCGCTCCAGCGAGAGTTGCTTAGCATGGCCTCGCTTGTGAGTGCCAGATCCTGAGGAGCGTGAATGCAGACCTAATGCGTCGCCACTTGCTGGTTAGTGTACGGTGCCTCTTCCTTCAAGGCGGTGATGCCGAGCTCCGGCAACTGGAGCTCGCTTGCACGCTCTCAGCTGGAGGTTCTGCAGTCCTTGGCTGGCTTGGCAGCACTTGGACACGTGCTGGGTACACTGGCCCTCCTCCTCCTCTGCCTCCTCCTCCACCTCATAATTCCTTACCGGTGCAGCTGTTTTGATAGCTTTGGCTGAAGCATTCAGGGGTGATCGGCAATTGAGGCTAACTACTCGTGCACTGGATGTAGCCTGGTACCCCGAACACGATCGACTTCGCGAGGTAAAGAAGCATTTGGAGGACCCCTCACTCACTGACATCGCAAGTCACAGCCTCAAATTTTGAACAGTAAAGAATCGACCAGCGTTTGGGAGTGGAAGAGTAGGATCGGTTGGCTGCCCAAAAGGTGCAGATGACTTTTCGCTCACCTCAACTGAGCGCAGCTTGACTGCGGGTAGCAGAAGCCGATTGCTGTCGTCTTCTCGGTCTGGCAAGCCCCACCAGAATATTTTGTTTTAAGGGGCACGAGTTCTGGTGCACGTAGTTTCGTGTTTGTCACCAAGGCGGAATTCCGTCTGAAACTCAGTGGTATCTTGAAGCCGACACGAGGGGCACGCTGCTGGGTCACGGCAAGCCCAGGAGATATGAGCACTCTCACCTGGTCGCAGCTTTGGATGTCATCCTCGAGTACCAGAGACGCTCAGAAGCAGCGTCGAGAGGTCAGTAGATTGCAGAGAAGGAAGTCATGGCAAGTTCAGTCTTACTTGATTGAGTGATTGATTGTAGAATGGGTTTGAACCAATGCATGGGCAATCTTTGCGAGATGTTGCTTGAGTCGAGCCGTTCCAGCCCTCGACCTTTCTTGCGCAGATGTGTGTTCTTGAGGAAATCGAAAGACCACCTACTTCACTGTCCTCGGGACTCGGGCACAGACGAGGACGGGCTTCGGTTATTCACGCTATTGCCGGCTTCTGCTCTGGGTTCTTCGAGGGAGGCGAGGTACCAGGCGGAGGTGACCAGGCCTGACGCCTGACGGTTTGTAGACGCTCGCCAAAGTGTGCGAAAGCAGCAAGAAACGGTACTGTACAGCGCTGAGGTTTGCCGTACCGTTCGGTACATCCCGAAAAGAAAATCCTTTTCCCTCGGGCTGCAATCTCGCACCTCAAAAGGCATAGTCTTCCGAAGTGTCATCAAAGCATGTGACGCCACTTCCGGCGAGTTTTATTTTGTTGCCTGTTTCGGTTGGTTCCAGCAAATTGCACTTCCGCGAATGCTGGCAGACAGCTGTTTTTGGTTGATCTTCGTTGTAGAACTATCTTTTTTGTTTAGTCTAGCTGGTCAGAGGGCCCGTTTGAACTGTGTCAGCACCCTGCAAGTATGGGAACATATCGACACGATCCTCGCACCCGGCTCATCGAGCTCTTGAAGCGGTGGCTTCGGACGCATGCAGCAAATCCAAACATCACGGAGGACGAGGCCAGAGTTTGATCATATCATGCTGGTATCGAGCTTTGGGAGGACAGGGCAGGAGGGGACAATCCCACATGTCGCAATCTGCACCGTCAGGTGCGTCGGATGTGTGGTCTTTGCCGAGACCTGCTCAACTATCCGAACCTTTTTCCATCCCGAAACAAGCCGCAGCCTAAACCGTTCTAAGAGGCCGCTACTCTACCGGTGAAACTTCCGGCGTTGTCCTAAGGACCAGCTTCATGCATGCACTCAGCACCTCGGCAGCTTGTATAGCCATGCAAGCAACGTTAACAATGGCTGCATGCCGTTGAGAGATGTTGGTACAATGCGTCCATGCTGACGGCCTTGAAATCTGCGAAAGGAAGGTGCTTGTACCTGTTTGTATCGATCGGCTCAGGCACGCTTGGTGCTTCAGACAAGGATATGATGGCCAGAAAGTCGCGAAACACAAACACATGACATAGATAGACGAAAACGGTGTGTATGTAGGTATAGACATATATATATATATATACACACACATACATACATATGTACACATGCACACACGAATCATGAATTCACATGTAAAGTCACAGTTGTTCTCTTGTATGCTGTGTTACACAGGATCTATCACTAAGGTCTGTTATATCGCTCAGCATGACCTTGCTCTGCTACACGTGGTGACGTGGTATGCTCACAGCTTGCTATTAACGGGGCGGGTTTATGTACATATGTACACACATGTCCAATTAACACAGATGCGTGACACCCCCGTTGATTCCTTTGTCTTCCATCCATAGTTTGCTTGGAGCCATGTTGGATTCGCACGACGCAAGCAGCAGATCGCTTCGCGTTCAGCTGACTCAACCGCAGAGCAGCTCTTTGGAACGTTTTGGCCGGGAGCCTGAAGAAATCCAACAGCGATTTCGTGATTCAGTCTGCTAGAGAGCAAGGAACTGCCAAGGTTTATAGCCGTAGTGATGCCCTTTACTACCATGTTTAAGATGGACAGGCAAGCACCCGGTGAATCCTGGTTGTGATGTCAGAATGTCAGAATGGCTACTGGTTCTGTTTAGGGCTGGCAGGCTGCATATGATCAGAGAGAGAGAGAGAGAGAGAGTGACAGATCAGCACTCAACAACTTGTCAGGCTATGAGCCTCCTCCTCGAGTAGCCTATCCGCCCGTGATCGAGTTCATCCGGGGGCAAGCTTTCAATGCATTTATATTCGTCGTTTTCGCCGGGACGGCCGTTTGGATTGGAGTCGCATGGGTCCAGTTGGCCGAAGACGGCAGTGCAAAGAGAAACCCAAGCGGTATGCCTGTGGATTTGATTCCACTCATAAAGCTTCTTTCGGTGCCACTGGTCTGTCTCCTTTTCACCTGGTTTCATGTCTGGCTGGCGTTGCAGATGAAACTTGGCATGTGCAACTTTCTCTATGTCACTACAGTATGTACCAGATAGTATTACATTAGACTTCAGCCATGGCAGACTCTCTGAACGAATCTCGATAGCTTGAGGTTTAGCCATTAGTCACTCTGGTGGTGCTGTCGAGGTGGCGATTTGTGCGGGATGCAGCGAGATTTGGTGACAAGTGCCTCACGTAGAGCCATTGACACTTTCGCCAGCGCATACCATCACCATGCTTACTTCCTGGAAGCTTCAGGCACTGCTCCCACTTTGTGCCGGCTGTGAACTGCCTTGCTTTTGAGTGCTTCTGATGCTCTGCATCATGTGTTTGGCATGTGTTGCGCAACTGCATCCTCCGTTGCATTCCTCTCCTGCCGGACGTTCGGAAGGGAGTGCTTACGTTGAATGTCCGCTCAGCTGATGTTGGGATAACTCCCAAGCGCCTCTTTCCGGGACGTTTTGCACAACCCCTTGGTGGAGGTGAACTCCCCTACTTCTGAAAGCAGTGCATGTTGCCTGGTTGTGTTGGATGTGAAGTCCTGTGTTCAAAGCCCTCCGTCCAGGACACACGGGTCAGTCTTTCTGCTGGACGCCTTGCCTCGCCTCCCTCTCTCTCAATCTCAATCTCAATCTCAAT